CTATTATTATTATTATTTTTATTTTTAATAAAATGCTGAAGTGGTAGGTAGATGCAAGATAAAGATAGAAAACATAGTTTAGTGCTGTAAGAGGGCAAATGTAGATGATCAGATGATCAGGTGTGTGCCTATGGACTAAGTATTAATCCAGGCTAGACAAGGGCAGCAAGACATCCACGGATGCAGAAGATTTCTCTCAAAGCAGGGGGGGTGAGGTTCTGAGCCTCACCTCTGTTGATCCCCAAATTCTCACCTGATGGCCCCCCTGCGACTGTGCCTGTCTTAGGTTGTTCCTCCCTTGAGGAATCTTACCCGTCTCTGGCTAACCAGTCATCTAAGGACTACCTTTTAAAAGCCAATGCAAAACTGAAATTGATTGTTCCTTATGGAGTCTAAAATACAGCCTTCACAGGTTCAAGGCAGTCCATTACTACTATAACTTCCCACCATGACAAAACCTAACCTTTAGAGGAAGGTTACATGACTAAGAGCCTCTACAAAGTAGTATTCACAAGATTCAGCACACAAGAAGGGTCCTAGACATGCAAAGCCACAGGAAAATGTTCTCAATTATGAAATATAAATCAATCGGAGCAGACCCGGAGACGATCCAGATATTGGGGTGAGCAGGCATGGACTTCCAAATAATGGAATAATATGTTCAGGAAAATGGAGAAAACATGGTCAAATTGTAGAAAAGGAAGGACAAATTTCAAATCTTCAACCAAAGAAAAAGAACACATTGCTCTTGAACAGCAGTAAGACTGATAGCTTTTCAAAAGAAACTAGGGGAGCAAGAGAACAATGAATGACATCTGACCTCTAAAGTGCTGAATGGGAAAAAAATACCTGTCAGTGTAAAATTTTATGACCCAAGAAAAATGTTCTTTGAAAATGCAGACACATTGAAGATGTGTTCCAACAGGGTTTTTTTTTTAAAAAAAGCCAATGCTGAAAGCATCAACAGCAGAACTCTACTTCAAGAGAAAACTAAAGACAGTTTCAGGCTGAAGGAAGGTGATTCCATGCAGGCCACATCACTCCAGGGACGATGATCAGGAAATAAAATGTAAGTAAATATAAATGACTATTGATTGTATAAAACAACTCTGTGGAGTTTTACAACTATGTAAGCCTAAAACTTCTTTAAAATAAAATGCTTATTAAAAACACATTGGACTGATATCCCCAAAACAAGATGAGGGAAGCCACTGCAAGAGACCCCCGCCCCCAGTCTGCCCTCCCCCCAAAGCTGGGGATTAATGAGAGCCCCTCAAGTCATGCTCATAATACACACCCAGCAGTGCTGCATTCCCCTCCAACGCTAGAGGTCTCAGGACCTCAGATGGCAACTGTCATCCCCAAATGATGGGGTCTGAGCAGCACGACCCCCGTCCCACGAGAACTAGAAGTGATGGGACTCGTGAATCACCCCCCTCCCCAACCGTCACTTTTTCTAGAAACAACCTCTTGACTGACTCCCTCAGCTGCTGCTCAACACTAGACAGTGGGGACCTGCAGTCCAGTGACTCAACAATCCAGACAAGGGAAGACCCGGAAAGTGACTTCCTGCCCACCCCCAACCAAAACAAAACTCTGTTAAACAGGAGCTGTACGAAGAGACTCCCACCAGGCCTCCCACCCCTCCTGGCTGGAGATGCGTGGAATCCCATGCAGTCCTATTGCCCCAGGCCCCTCCCCACAGAGAGAGGATGGTACCTCCATCTCGTGGCCCCTCCCTGTCACTCCCAACACTTGAAAAATGGAAACAGCCACCCCCCCCAGGCACTGACATTCCAGTCCCCTAGCACCAGGGAGAGTGGGATCTCTGGCCTCTGATCCCCAATTCCCCATCCATCATGAGGATGCCATCAGATGACATACTTCACGTGAGCCCCGGGTCCCTCCAAGATGAGAGATGATAGAAACCCCAACAGGCAACTTAAAACTCCCTGCACACTAAAGAAGAAGGGAGACCCAGAAACGACGTACCATTCTTGCCCAGCGCACACCACAGATTGTCTCCTCTGACCGCCCAAGGCTAGACAGATGGGTCTCCCCAGTAAAGAGTGTCCCCAGACTCCCCAAGACAAGCAGTCACCAGAGTCTCCACAGGCACCCCACCAGGTTCTCCAATATAAATGTCAGATCCCCAGAAAATGACCTCTCTCCCCATTGTCACAAAATAAGAATCAGTAGAAGCATGAGTAAGCAGCCCCCTAAACTAGATGAAGGGGTGAGCCTACAATGGAAATCCCTCAAATCTTCCCCAACACAAGATGATTGTGCCTATGGTGACCTTTTTATCCCAAACAAAAAGAACAGTCCAAGCTCCGTCAGGCAACACTTCAGATTCCTCTTGCCATACAGACAGATCACTTATCACCAGGTCATAGCGGGCAGATGGGGCCCCACTGAACCGGGTGTGCCCTGCCCAGGAGGATGTTGACCCCAGTTGCAGAATAAGGAAGGTGACTGTAGTCCTGACAAGCCAGCAGATACCCCAACCACCCGGTAGAGACAGGAATTTGGGAAGCAAGTCTTCCCCGAGCATTTCTTGCCTGAGCAGAGCCCTCTTCTCTGCTGCATTCCCTGCTGACCCTCAGAACATCTGCCCGAAGGGCATCCGTGGACAGGGAGGCCTGGAGCTGGAGACAGGGCCAAGAAGGGTAGAGAAGGGACCTGATTTGTCTCAATTGCAGCCATGAATTCATGAGGCTCCGAACAGCAACACTGAAGCCAGGCTCTTGAGCCAGCACGAGTAGAACAGATTCTGGGCGGATGAAGAGAGGTGGCCTGCACAAAAGGTGGGTGCATTGTCCCGCCTCCAGATGGCCATCAGGGATCCTTGCCGTCTGGTATTCATGCCCTGTGCATCTCCTCCCACATGGAGTCAGACATGATCAATGTGATCGACACAGTGCTGCAGAAATGACGGCGTGTCTCATCTGAGACCCTGTCATAGAACACTGGGGCTTCCTTCTCAGTCCCTTATTGCTCCCTCTCTAGGGCAAGCCGTCTGCCGTGCCATGAGGACACTCAGGCGTTCCTGGGGAGAGGTCCACGTGGACAGGAACGACATGGCTAGCCTTTCAGTGAGACACCTTGGAAAATCTTCCAGCTCCCATTACGTTTTGAGCTCTAATTCATACTAGAGCCTACTGCTGTCTGCAAACTACCTCAGAACGCATAAGAAAATAAGACAGCTTGATGGACGGGACAGGGATGAAGTGGCAAAACTAGGATAGTGGAATGTTACTGATGGAATCTAGGTGGTGGAATAGCAGTTCATTAGGATGCCATCACGAAATACCACAGCCTGGGGAGCGTAACAATAGAAATGTGCTTTATTGAAGTTTATGGTGGTTGGAGGTCCAAGAGTCAAGGTCAAGGTACCAGCAGGGTCGGTTTCTCCTGAGGCCCCTCTCCTTGGCTTGCAGATGGCCACCTCCTTGCAGCCTCTTCCCATGGTCATCCCTCTGCGCATGTGCGTGCTGCCCTAGTCTCTTCTTCCGAGGACGTGGCCCACACAAATGGCCTCATTGTATTACTTCTTTAAGAGCCCCACCTCCAAATACAGTCACATTATGAGGCTTCAGCTTGCATGAGGGGGGACAGAATTTAGTCTTCACAGGCATGTTCACTGTAAAACATGCTTGCACATTATCTCTGTAATTGAAGTTTTCATAATAAGTGTGGATGATATGCTATGTCAGTAAAGAAAAAAGGGTTAAAAAAATCGTGTTGGAACCAATAGTTGGTCTCTGTGGAATAGTTATCATCTTAGATACAAGTGTAAAAATTGAAGCTCTGCACATCCTAGAAGAGACTGAGGGATGCTTGCTTTATATTTAATCTTAGAGGAGAGATGGCTTTTTAACGCAGTTACACTGTTTTTTTTATTCTCATCAGCATGTTAATATTTTATTTTGTGCAGAGCATGGAAAATACTTGAGCAGTTATAAAACATTTAACAGATAACTTTAAAGAAAAATTATCAGAAAAACAGGCTTATTCGTTTCAACTAAGTGGAGAAATGGAGGAGCAGAAGCCAAAATTAGAGTAACTAAACAGGTACTGGTAACACTTAGAAAACTGACCTGTCATATTTACATTTTTGGAGTAATATTTACGTATGTTTTATTTACATTTTGCCAAATGGTAAAACCCAAATCCTCCCTCAGCCACTAAAAAATAACTAAGTTCTGGAAAATAGGTTTGAATAACTTAGTATTTATTGATCAACAGTGAACAAAACTCACCAAGGAAACCCGTCTTTTGAAACATACAAAAGATGAAACCCTAGGAGAATAAGACATCAAACTTTGTGAAGTCAAAGTTTCACAAGATCACTGATGAAATGTTAGTTTGTGTCACAGAAGAAATCCTTCAAACATCCTTTCAACAGGTCATGACAGCACCTTTTCTAATTATATATAAATATTTCTTAAATCCTTCATAAAGAATTTAAGGCACTTATTAGGTGAAATCTAATTAAAATATATTTTCTTTCTAAAATAAAGTGGTACTAATGATTGCTTTGGAATATTCTTCCAGAATGGTTTATGGCTTAGAACTACCTATAGCTCGTACTGAAGGCAGTCGTCAGAGTTGTAGATCTCCTTCACAGACATCACAGTTGTCAGCAAGGTAAATGGAAGGTTAAGAAACCAAGTCTTCAACTCTCACATGAAGCTGTTACACTGTTAACCTTAAAATAAAGCCGTCAGCAAAAAACCCAGCAAACTGGGTTTGTTCAGGAATAGCAGAGAGTTGCAATCCCGGATAAGCAAGCCATAGCAAACCACCCGGGAACAAAGCAGAGGACGTTCTTTTTGTACAAGGGTAGGGACTTTAAGCAAAAAGTCCCCTGGAGGAAGCTGGGAGTCCCACGTGTGGTGGCTTCTCATTGGCTGGACTGTTGCCAGGCTGTTGCTGGGGGAGACAGAAACTCTTCCCTCCTCGCACCGGTGGTGAAGTAGCCAAAATAGTCTGCGTTGCAAGGTGTCTCTTCCTGTGGGGTCTGCAATTGACCAGGAGGGGGTGGGTGGGTGTCAGAGCTCCCCCTGCAGGCCTCCTGGTGCCATGCCAGTGAGGCTTCCCTTTATTCATTTCATAACAAAATAAATGAAAAATACATTTGATTTCATTAAAAAGTATCTACATGGCAGATAACTAGAGGCAAAGACAAGGGAGAAATAGACAAAGAAAACAGGAAAATGTTGGCAATTCATCACAAAAATCTAACATTGATACTGAAGAATTCCTACCTACCGAAGAAGAGGACCAAGACTCCTTTGGAGAAATGGGCAAATACTGAGAACTGTTCACAGAAAATACAGAATACTCTCAACAGAAGCAGTGATTTTCAACTTCGTCATCAAAAGAAAAATACGAAAACACGGAGATGCCTTTTTTCATGCACAGATTGGGATTCTTTTTTTTAAGTTTAATATGTTAACGTATTAGCCAGGATGGGGGAAGGTGGCACTCCCTGACCGCTGAGGGGCAGGTGAGTTTGAGCATCCTCTCCAGTCGGCAGGAAGACCCGGGGCGCCCACCCCGGCCCAGCCCGGCAGTGCGGGGAGAGGCGGAAAGAGCGGAACCCTGGCCGCGAAGTCAGAGAAAGCCGAGGCCCGGTGGAGGGAGTCCGAGCCGACTGCGGAGCTGAGCGGCGTCGCGGGGGAGGTAGGGGAGCCGGGAGAGCCGGGGCCCGGCGGAAAGCCGAGGCCAGGCATGGGGAGCCGAAGACAGGCGGAGGGGGCCGAGGCTCAAAGGAGGGACCCGAGGCTGGGCGGAAAAAGCCGAAGGTGGACGGAGCGCGCTGGCGCCCGGCGAGGGGAGCCGAGCCACGCCGAAAAGCGGAGCCACAGCGGGCGGCGGAGGGCCAGGACTAGGGAGAGCCCGGAGCCCAGCTGCCCCAGCTAAGGGTGGTGACGCCGGCCCTCCCGCCGCCCACCCCGGCCTCGGGGAGCACGCGCGTGTCCCCGCACGGCAGGGGCTCCTGGAGGCGCTGCCGCGTGCAGACGTGCGTATACCACCCGCGGGGACAGCTGCCCGGGGCGGGCACGCGGGTCTGAGAGACCCCTCCCAGCACGGGGGCTGGGATGCAGACCGTAGGCCCCTCCGGGCGCCCGCGCAGGACCTCCTTCACGGTTCTGGGTCGTGTGCACCTGGACCGTTAAACCGCGTGGGAAGCCTACGGGGACGCGGACTGGGCCCCGAGGCCCCCAGGCCGGCGCTGTCAGCCGTCGCCAGAGCTCGAGCTCTCAGGCCCAGAGCCTCGCCCTTGCTGACCTGGGAGAGGCTGCAAACTGAAATGTCGGCATTTTCTGCTTGTAAGTTGGAAAGCTGGCTTATCTCCCGCCCAGGAACTTAAAGTGGGGGACACCTTACAACAGGATGGGGGGTTGAGAGGTCAAAATGGAGAAGTTCAAATGGGATGGCAGATGTCTACGAGGAGGCCCTGTTTACTTGAAGTGCTCTTAACAGGAGCGTCTTACTCCTTGCATGCCAGCCACCTGGGTCCTTTGTGTTCTGCTGGTTTATGTTAAAGTTGATGTGTTTGCAAAGCACGCACTGTACCTGGCAGTCTTCTGCAAGATGGCCGCTGCCTGTGCCAAGCTCTGCCTTCTAGGTCCCTTGCTAGGGGTACTACCAGTATTTACATGATCTGTGTGTGCTGAGTGGGTCTGAGCTGAGTTCTAAGCGGGTCTGATCTCAAAAGTTGGTACCACAAGGGAAAAAAAGTTTTGTAACTGTTGGTGATTAACTGATGGTGGCAGTCATTTCACAATATATTCACAGATATCAAACCATGCTATTGTACACCTTAAACTTATAAAATGTTATGAGTCAATTATCTCAATAAAGCTGGAAAAACTTTTTTTTTTAAAAAGTGTATCTGCTTCTGTTGCTATTTGTGGGTTTCAAAGAACTAATCAGATATGTATCACCCAAAAGCAAACTTGTTTACACATACTAATATCAGACAAAAAAAGATTTCACCTTAAAGGACGTTACTAGGAAAAAGAGACTCACTTCATTAGTGTATGCACAGGCTGATTCACAGGAAGAGAGGTGATCCTAAACTTCTCTGCAACTAATGGAACTTGCATCCGACAAGTGCATATTGCATGTCATTTTCAGGCACGCATGGAATTTTTACAAACACTGTCCTTTGACTTATGACACAAACCAAGTCTTGAAATTCTCAAAGCGTTTCATTTTCCCCACAAACATGAAAACAAAAACACTAAAAATATCATCGTCCCTGTGGTGAAAATTGAAATTCCTGTGGCCAGGATCCTCACCTGAACCTAAACTACTTGATTATGTAACTGGCCTGCTGCTCGGCTACTGCTTCCACACCCGCAGGCAATGAGCTATGGTTGACTGAGTCACTGTATAAAAAGCTCTACCCAGTGCTCTGGGCGGAGGCAGAGACAAGGAGAATGACAGACCTGCAGACTGTTGTATGCGTATGTAATTCTAGTGCTTAGCCTATCGCTGGGAGAACAAGCCGCCAGAATGTTCAGTGGTCATTCCTCAGTCTCAGTGAATCCATAGTGAACTTTCCCAGGGCTGAAGCCCACCAGCAAGACAGTTCAGCTTGGGGAAGAGCATAAACATGGCTAAATCTCAGAGTGTGGCTACCTCTGCAGACACTGAGAGTGAATGGGATCAGAAACAGATGCTCAGAGGCTCATTTCTACCTGCTTTAAGTGTTGGCATGTGGACAGTGGCACGTGGCAGGCTGGCTGAGGGCCAGACCCTTCAGAAATGAAGTTTCGCTTCCCCAAACAGACAGATGGCCCTGGCCAGCTCAGGTGCTTGCTAGGGCAAAGGGGACAAGAAATGGCCAAACCAGATAGGCAGTTATCAACCCAGCCATGGCAAGGGGACCCGCTGCAAATGACTGTTCTATTTCTTCCTTACTCTGTTATGAATAAGTTTCAGCGTGTGTGTGTGTGTGTGTGTGTGTGTGTGTGTATTAGTAGTTGTTACCGTGGCCAGGATCCTCACCTTACCCTAATCCACTTGCTGATGTAATTGGCCTACTGTGCAGGCACAGGCTTACATACCTGTTGGCAAGGAGCCATTGGGTGTTGTGTAGAAAGAGCTGCACCCAGGGGTCCCCACCCCCGCCCGGAGGCGAAGGCTGAGGCTAATTGCAGGTTTCAGACTTGCTGGATGCAGACATGATTCTAGCACTCAACCTGACACCATGAGAATAAACCTTGTTGTAAACTCTTTTACCCCTAACATCCCACTGTTGTTATTTGGTCTCACTGAATCCAAAGTGAACTTGCCTGGAGCTGGGAACCCCCTCCAGCCGGAGTTACAGTAGTTAAATTTACATCAATGTAAAAAAAAATCTTGCATGACCTGTGACCCTCCCTGCAAACATGGGGCTCTTTGGGGTGACTTGTTAGAGTGACTCTTGTCCAGAGTACTACTGGCCAGCGGACACCTAAAGATGCCACCAATTGTCCCTCCCTGCCATCGGTGGGCACAAGCCTTACTGACTGTTCCCACAGGCTGGGTCTGCTCTCAGGAGCCGCAGTCCTGCAGGAGATATCCTTCCAACCCCAGTGGCCACCTCCCAGCCCTGGGCCCTGGCGCCTCTCTTCCCAGGGAAAGCAGATGTCCACAAGAAAGAATGACTTTCCTGGCTGCTGGGCCATCGGGAAGGGCCTGGGCTGCTGGAACCAGGGTTTGTCCTCAGCTGCTGGCAGCCCTGCAAAGTCCTCCCTGGCAGAGGCCAGCCTGCTGTGTCTGGGTGACTCTTGCGGTCATCACAAAATAGGCAGATACCTCAGAAGCACCTGCAGTTCATCTGGCCTTTGCTCTTGGCCAGTTTCTGGGGGATGATGCTCATAGTACCAGGTGGCAACCCTGTAGCTACTGGTCATGAGATGGGCACTCGGGGTGAGCTCAGGGCAGTCTGTTCACCACCCAGCTTGGAAGCACTTCTGCATTTTACTCGAACAGCTGTGTCCATGCAAGCCCACAGCTCATCAGTTTGGTGGCTGTCCCCTGCTGGGCACTCCCCCCTCCACCCCAGCCCCTCTCGGGCCTCATGTTGCACCTCAGTGATAGCTCCAGGGGAGGACAGAGGGTGTCACTTGGCCCTGTCACGGTCCAGCTCTGTCCATGGACCCCCGGCCCCAGGCAGTGTCACTGGTCAGAGCTGGAGCTCGGGTGGCTGAGGACATGGTGTGAATCTCGTGGGAATCCAGGCTTTGGGTCCCGTTGGCCGAGGCGCCCAGTGCGGGATGCCCAGGACCCCACGGTGGCCGGAAACAGAGGGACTTTGCTCACAGCCATCCTCCCCTCCTCCCTGCAGCACAGGGCAGCTCAGCCCCGCCCGTCCTGGGGCATCTGCACTCCGCCTCCCGGGGATCCTGCTCCCCACTCGGATACAGTTTCCCCAAAAACAACTCCTCCCAGTGGGTACAGAATATTTTGGATTTATACTGGTGTCCAAATATCACGTTGTGTGCTTTTTTTTTTCCTGCCCAGCATTATCCTAAGCCCAGCAGTAGCTTTGGCCCAGCCAGCAGATTGCTGGGGTCTCCCGGGTTAAAAGTTTCACAAGGCAGATGTGATGATGATTGGTAAGGAATTTTGGATGATTCCAAAGGAATTATTGAGATCATAGACCATGGAATCCAGGAAGGGTAGGAATAGAGAAGAGAAGAGAAGGTGCGGCTGTGTTCTGGCCTCATTGTATGATGGTTTGAGTAAAAACTGGAACTCAGGAGTTTGCAGTGGGGGAGTCTGTTTCTGAGTTCATTTCTTTCTCTGTTTTTGTGTCCTTTGGTTTTGTGTGCTTGTGTGAATTATTCATGTTTGGCCATGACCATTTGGGTTGACGGGAAGGTCTGGGATATGGGAATGAGCCCCAGAGCACAGCTGGTGATAATTTCGTGATGCGTTTGAGCTCTAAAGAGTGGTGGACAGACACCGAGTGGCCAATGGGTTGACCAAACAGTCAAATAACTCAGAGCAGTGGGAGGACTTGGCACTGTGTGTCTTCAGAGGGGAGACCAAGACTTGTGCGGTGGAGAGGGACAAAAATGAAAAGAGGGTAGGTCCCGAGGGTTGACCTTGAGCTTTCTGTTCCTGGCCCACATCTATCTGGTGAGGACCTAGATCACAGGTCAGGTCTATCCCGGGACAGACGACAGTGGAAGTACAAGACAGCCGAGAGAATGGTCCTACGAAGGCAGGCTTCATTCAGCATCTTCATCTAAGTTCTTTATTTTTCTAGGATAAGAGGAAAAAATGTATGATGGTCAAGACTCTACAGAGGAGGCCACATGATGGTAGAAAGCGCTCGAAACCAAAGCCTGATTTAAACATATCCATCCCTATAAGGATGTCCGGCTGCATAGGCAAGATGCCGGTTACTAGAATCACATCCCACCCCAGCAATGAGGTCAGATACCATCAATGGGAGGAAACCTTGGAGAAGCCCCGGCGGCTGTATTGGCAGAAGAGTCTGCAGGGACTCAAGGCCTGCGACAGCGCAGGAGAGCCTTTAAGGACTTTCGATCTTGCCAACACCTTGCGAAATCTTGTGTCTCAGCACCCAGGTAAATGGCCACGAGGGGTTCTTGAAGGGGTTCCGCATGCCAGCCCCACATCTGCCTCTGCCAGGTCTTCAGATTTGGCAGCAATGACTCCGGGAGCAGGTCTTGGAACCCCTCTGCTCCTCCACAGACCATTTCCGGTGACCGAGGAAGACATCACGAAACAGGAAAGGAAAGTGAAATTGGCAAGAGAGAGACTGGCCATGGCACTGACCGCAGACAGACTCGCTAGTGAGGCAGAGAAAGAGAGCAGTACTGGGGGACGTCCTGAAACACCCAATGCTGGACAAGAGAAAGGCGCACAGAGGACATGGAACACGGCATTGCATTAATCTCTTTGCTGGGCCCATAAGGATTTCTTGCTTGCAGATCTTGAGGCCTTAATATGTACCAATGCCTTTTTCTCTTATTAAATTCTTTTACGTGACAGACAGTATCAGTGATGATTTCATTCTGAGGTCTGCAGTTGGGCTTTTGGTGAGAGAAAGGAGGGCTTTGTTATTCTTTGTTGTATTCTTAGGTTGCACGAAAGGAAATGCCAACCTCTCCCTCCTGGTTAAAGGTCCCGTATGCTGGACATCTAATTCGGAAGCCAGACATGCCGCTCTGGGGGCAAAGCCCAGCAAGAGAGAGTTTTCAGCATCCTTAGTCTATCAATGAGCCCCTGTCTGTTTGCCTGACCAAGCTGTGGTATGACTGAAATCCCTTTTGCCAGTCCTTACTGGTCTGCTGGGTTGACCGGATTCTGAGACTGAGCTGCCAAAAAATATTTTTTCTTTGCTAAACCTGTGCATTTTTATGCTTGCATTTTTTTATTTTGGTATCATTAATATACAATCACATGAGCAACATTGTGATTACTAGATTCTCCCCATTCTCAAGTCCCCACCCCACCCCCCAGTACAGTCACTGTCCATCGGCGTAGTGAGATGCTGTAGAGTCACTGCTTGTCTTCTCTGTGCTGCACTGCCTTCCCTGTGCCCCCCCACATTATGTGTGCTAATTGTTATAGAGCATTATTTTTTGTATAGTATATCCTGAAAAATGAATTATTAATTGAATCTCCTCTTTTTTTATGCTCCTATGTGGCAATCATCTGGAATTTTAGTGAGAATGTGTTTTGATGTCTTGTTGTAAAACTCACACTAATTTAGACACGCCAATTTTTTTTTCTTTTCTTCAGGGCTCCCCCATGTTTTTCTGGGTTCACACTTCTCCCTGAGGAACCACCCTTTAGTGGTTCTTTCACTGGAGCCCTGCAGGAGGTCAACATGTGTCTGTATTTCAGAAAGTATTTCTGTTTCTCTGACAGTTTGACTAGGTATTTAACTCAGGTTCTTAATAACTTTTTCCTTTCTTGTCAAACTATCCAGTATTTCTGAGCCTTCATAGTTTCAGCTTTGAAATGGGACTGAAGTTGTCTAGGATGGTGAGTACAACTGAAATAATACATGCAGAGACTGCCAATCATGCGGCTAAGCAGATAGTAAGTCATCGATAACAACAGCTCTTATTATTATTATGGTCTTTGGAGAAGGCATTCTCAGAGAAGGACTGCTTGAGGCTGAGGATGTGAAGGTCACACCAGAAAGGTCTGCATGTGGGGCACTGCTGTGATATTGGGTCTTAGTCCTTGAGTATGTGACCATCTGAAAAACGTGTAGAGAGCATGTCATCTACTGTAGCGAACCCTAGGCAGGCCAGCCAGCTTACCTCCCACCTGGGGTACTTTGGGCTGCTTGTTGGGGAGCATTTGCTCAAACTTTCCAGGTGGATTCAGGGAAGAGAAAGCTGCAAAAAGGTTGTCTGGCTTCTTCTGACTTTGTTCACTGAATTTTACTGATCATTCCATCCTCAGGAGACCCCCGTCTTTCCAGAGCCTTGGTATTCACCCTGGGACTCGGGCTTCCCAGGTACCTTGTCATTTCTGCTCCAAGTCCTAAGGTTGGTTGCAGAGCCATTTCCAACACACTCATTTTTCCCCCCCAGTAACGTTTTTTTCTTAACTAATGTATCATTGATATACACTCTTATGAAGGTTTCACAAGAAAAACAATGTGGTTATTACATTCACCCATATTATCGAGCCCCCCACATACCCCATTGCAGTCACTGCCCATCAGTGTAGTAAGATGTCACAGAGTCCCTATTTGTCTTCTCTGAGATACACTGTCCTCCCTGTGACCCCCACATACCATGTGCACCAATCATGATCCCCCACAATCCCCTTCTCCCTCCCTCCCCACCCGCTCTCCCCCACCCCTCCCCTCTGGTAACTGCTTGGGGGCTGTGTGTCTGCTGCTGTTTTGTTCCTTCGGTTTTGCTTCACTGTTATACTCCACAAATGAGGGAAATCATTTGGCACTTGTCTTTCTCTGCCTAACTTATTTCACTGAGCATAGTAGCTTCTAGCTCCATCCATGTTGTTGCAAATGGTAGGATTTGTTTCTCTCTTAAGGCTGAATAGTATTCCATTGTGTATATGCACCACCTCTCCTTTATCCATTCATCCATTGATGGACACTTAGGTTGCTTCCATATCTTGGCTATTGTAAATAGTGCTGCGATAGACATAGGGGTGCATCTGTCTTTTTGAATCTGAGAAATTGTTTTCTTTGGGTAGATTCCTAGGAGTGGAGTTCCCAGGTCAATGGTATTTCTATTTTGAGTTTTTTGAGGAACCTGCAGACTGCTTTCCATGATGGCCGAACTAACTTACATTCCCACCAGCAGAACCCAGTCTTTTCTGTCCCCTTTCCCACCCTGGAGGATGCAGGAGTCGGGAGAGGAGCCTCAGAGGCAGAGTGACCTGCAAGCTTCAGAGAACGAAGCAGTGTACAGGGAGCTGGAGGCGACCCGGGCTTCAGGCGCGGGGAGAGAGGGGGAATCGGGGTGGGTGACAGCTGGCCCAGAGTCCAGCGGGGGTGGGGGGGTGGGGGGCGTGCTCCTGGGCTTCCCAGCAAGGGAAACCTCTCAGGAGCTGGGTGGCGTATGTTACGCGATGGCAGTGTCTGGGCCTGGCTCACCAACTCCTGTGTCCCTGAGGGATGAAATAGTGTGCAACCACAGACAGATGTCACCGTTGCCTTCAGGACTTAACCAGGGAAGGGGACCTTTTCTCTTGGTCCCTGTGAGCCAGTCAGGGATCAAGACAAGAAGAGCCAGAGGCTAGGTCCAACCAGTGTGGTTTATTTCTGTTCCAACTGAGCTCCTCTGGACCCTGGCAGGATGCAGGGGGCCTCCAACTGAGCTGGTCTCTGCAGCTACCTGAAGTCCAGGTGTGGCAGGTAGTAGCCCAGGCGTTGCTGCTGAACCTTGTAATCTCCCTCCTTCTTCCGCAGGAAGACGGTGACCTGGGAGGACCGGGTGAGAGCGTGAGAATGGGGGTGTCCATGCACAGAGGATACCAGGTGGCCCAGGCCGGAGACTAATGCTTCCTGTGTCTCTTGCTTACTTTCTTCCACTTGGTTTTCTCTTAGGCTTTCTTTTCCTTTCCCCTTTCCCTGTTTCACCTCTGTCTCTTGTCCTCTCTCACCATTAACATTGTTTTTCTACCACTTTCTCTGATACCCCCTTCGGTCTTCTCTCCCTGTCCCGCACGCCCTGTAGCTTTGGTTATAACCAACATACAAACAATGGCATATATTCCAAGTCAATGTTACATTGACTAGAACATCTTGAACCATCACCACAGTCAAAATGAGGAATGCCCGTCACCCCCACAGTGTCCTCAGGCCCCTTTGCGATTCCTCCTTCCCTGCTGTTGGCAAACACATCCCCATTCCTGGGAGACCCCTGATTTCCTTTATACCCCTATAGATGAGCTTGTACTTTCCAGAATTTTCTACACACTCATTTTTATCTGGCTCTTTTCACTCAGCATCATTCCTTTGAGATTTAGACACGTTGTTGCATGTATTAAAACCCAGTCCTTTTTATTGCCAAAGAGTATTCCCCTGGGGTAGTAGACCATGGTTTGTTTATTCATTCCCCTGTGGAAGGACTTCTGTGTTGTTTTACAAATATGGACCTTTGTGTAAAGTCTTTGCAGACACGTATGTTCTTATTTCACACTCCTAGCAGTGAAATGGCTTTTAAAGATACAGGCAAGGTATTTTTCACAGCACTACAGGAGCAATCCAGTTGCTCTGTATCTTTGTCAACACTTGTTTAGCCAGTCTTTAATTTTAGCCACTCTCATGTGCAGTATCTCATGACATTTTCCACTTACATTTCCCTCTTGACTGATGTTAAGAAAAGGAAGAGGCAGGCCACACATGGACTGGGAGGAATATGCACAAAACTTATCCTCAGCAAAGGACATGTATTTATCGTATATAAAGAACTCTCACAGGTCAAGAGCCAGAAGACAAGCAGCCATTTGTTGCTTACCAGGAAGCAGCAGATGAGGCACGTGATGAATCCCAGGAGTCCTGCCAAGCAGATGAGGATGATGGCCCAGAAGGGGAGGTCTGGGGAGACAAGGGCAGGTGTGAGCCACCTCCTGCCACCCCACAGGGCTCCTGCTGTCCCCCCACTGCACCTCAACCATCCTGGACATGGCTTGGCCAACTTTCACCATCCAAGACACTGTGTACATGGCTGTCTTTGGGGAGGCACAGCTCTGAGATTGTTCCTCCCCATCCTGGGCCGGGGCTTCTTTGAGGCTTACCAGAATTCTCGGACAAGGCCTCATGTCTGTTGGGAGAATACCCTAGGCAGAAAAATGAAATGGGGAGATGCACGTGAGTGTGTTTTACTCTTTTTTTGTTTGTTTGTTTCTTTGTTTTCCTTTTTTTAATAACACTTTTCTAACATTCAGAATACTAGAACAGTATTATAAACATACTCATCTAGGTTTAGCAACATATAGTGCATCCAATTAAAATAATACTCCCTCCAATGTATAAATTACTAACATTTGCCATCCTTGCGTGATCCCATATTTACACTGAAATAAAGTAGAAATCACAATGTTCATCCCCTTTCAGCTTACATCTCTGAGAAATAAGGACACTGCCAAATGACCCAATGCCATAATAGCACTGCAAGACTGTAATAAATCACATTCATATCTCTGGGCAAGGAGGGCTGAAATCGGGCTGGACCATCGTAGGATGGTCAGAATCGGGGGGAGAATGGATCACCCCAGTTGGCAAGCCTGTGGGATCTCTCCAAGCTTGTAAACTCCCCCTTACATGCTTTCTTCTCTGCCTAAAAACACATTCACTCCCTTTTCCTGTACTGAGTTGTTTATACTCATATCTCAGGGTTTGCCTACAACGTAATTTCCTCCAGCAAGTCTGTGATCACCACTCCCAGGGATGGACCAGTTCTCATCCAATAATTTATAATTTTCAATGGCCCATTCATGTTATTGCCAACCACAACACACACCGCACAAGAGGGGCCACTGGGCTTGTGAGGAAGGGTAGCAGGTTTCCCCACTTGCACAACCTCCCCCCATGTCAACTCTTTATAGACATGCTGTCTAGTACGGAGCAGCCACATGTGTCTTCTTAAGTTAAAATTAATTTTAATTAAATAAAACAAAAAATCTGGTACTAAGTAACATCGAATATCAGTAACCATACAAACTGATCACAGCAGCCATACTTCAAGCACCCAAACACCACGTGTAGCTACTATACAGAACATTTCTGTCACTGTGTGGTGCTGACCTAGGGCAGAACTTGGCAAACTACAGCTTGTGAGCTGAGTCCATCCCACTGCCTGTTTTTAAACAGGTCCAACCCCCACCCGTCAAGGCTGGTTCACACACAGTCTGGAGCCATCTGGCCACGTGGCTTTCAATACAGAGGTAAGAGAGAGATGTCCACAGAGGGGAAGTGACCAGTTTGAGGTCACAGAGCTATCTAAGAGAAGGCAAGCGCCTCCTAGAGCCCGTTGGGTTCTTTTCCTCTTCTGCAATGGCTGGTAAAGCCTGGGACTCTGCCACCTCTTGCCAGCCTGAGAAAGTGCAGTGCTGGCGCATGCCCAGGCCTTCGGGTTCCATGTGTGGAGGCGAGAGCCCCCACTCCTGCCCCACTGACCAGGAAGCCTTACCATCCACGAGGATGCTGTCCCTGTCCAGGGTGAAGTTCCGCAGCCGACTGCCATTCTGGGTCAGCCACAGGAATTCCTCATAGATGGCAACTCTGTCCAGCCTCCGAGCCAGTGGGGAGAATGTACACAGGGAGCCCACCCCAGTGTGGCTGGTAGAGGGGACAGGCCTGGAGGGACACAAGGGATGAACAAGCACATCTAGAATTCTCCCCCCATCCTGGGTTCTCTGCTTCTAGGTCACGTCCAAGAGAACTTTCTGCAATGATGTACACATGGGTGTCCACTCTATGCAATGAGGTCATTATCAGCCTCATGTCGTTCCTGAGCACTTGAAATGTGGCGACTGTGGGTGAGGAACTGTACGTCTCATTTTATTTAAGTTAATTCATTTATAAATAAACAGCCACAGGGAAAACACTTTGAAATGTTTGGAGTAAGGATGTGCAAGAATCCACAAAATCATTGAGAGCAGGGGCAAAAATGGTCAAAATCAACTTTTTCAGAATCTAGACATTAGCTGAAGACTTGCAAAAGTTTGAGAATCATTTAGTTAAGAAAAAAACCTGTTGAATCTTGGTAAAGGGAGCATGCTTTGTGGCATGATAACTTGCATTATTCAATCCTGTTCTCTCAACATCCTCAGTAACTTTGAAAACCAACAGTCTTGGAACCATGGTTAATTAGGAAAATGTGCAGGCTGCCAGTCATCATGTGTTTGGAGCTCCTCCCAATGAAAAGGCAATTTGCCAAACGGGAGAAAAGATTTGTAAAATAATATATCTGATGAGGTTCTAGTATCCAGGATACATAAACAGCTATTATAATTCAACAAGAAAAAATAAATAAATTCAACTTAGAATTGGGCAAAAGACTTGAGTACACAATTCTGCAAAGATGATATACACATGGCCAAGAAATACATGGCAAAATGCTCAACATCACCAATCGCTGTGAAAATGCAAATCAAAAGCAGAGTGAGACACCGCTTCACATCCACGAGGATGGCTACAGTGAAAAAAAGGACAATAACAATTGTCAGTGAGCATTTGGATAATTTGCAAACCTACTACATTGCTTGGAATGCAAACGGTGTGAAGTGAAAATGTAAATGGGTAAACGTAAAAGCCTCTGTGAAAAACAGTTCTGTAGTTCCTCCAAAGTTAACGGAATATTCATAATTATCCTACAGTACCATGCATGTGTATATACCCTATAAAACTGAAACACAAGTTCATACCTAGGAATGATCATAGAAGCATTATTCATAATAGAAAAAAAAGCAGAGACAACCCAATATCCATCAATGGATGAATGGATAATGAAAAGTGGTCCGTTCATACAGTGGAATATTAGTCAGTTATGAAAAGGAATGGAGTCCTGACACATGCTACAACATGCATGGATCTTGCAAACATTACACTCAGTGAAAGAAGTCAGCCACAAAAGACCACCTAATGTAAGATTGTGGTACCATGAAATGTCCAGAATAGGCACAGCCATAGAGACAAAAAGTAGATTATTGTTTGCTGGGGCCAGAGGCAAGGGACAGGAGTGTCCACTCGTGGGGACAGGGTTTCTTTTTGGTGTGATGCAAATATTCCACCATTAGACAGATGTTAGGATGGCTGCACCACTCTGTGGCTACACCACAGGGCAGCAGACGTCTCTAGAGGGATTAGGTCCAGTGTTGGAACTCACCTGAATGCTGAAACCTCACAGTCAGAAAAATAAGTTTTAATGCTGCTGTTTTGGAAGAGCTGGTTGAGCTGAAAGACAGGGCAACGTTTCCGTGGTCAGAATCCCAGGCACCAGTGCATCACAGAACTTTTCACCACTGACAGCACCTGCCCATCTATTTATTGTTTCTTATCTCAGCAAACACTAGCCCAGGTAGGTGTACCAAAGGACACCCCTTCCCAGAGCATGATTTGGGTATATGACCCTGGGCTAGCTACTGAACCTCTGGGTGCCTGTTTCTTAATTTGCAAAATGGGAAAAAGAACTTGCCTTCTCGAATTGTTATGAAAAGTCACCCTCTGACTACCCAGGTCCATGAGTCGGTCTCTATGGAAACAGTGTGGGCATTAAGCCCGTTCTCACCGCAGCCTCGATGCTCCTCCTGTTCTGCTGGTACTGGGTGGAGCCTGGCTGGGCCATGTCCTGGGAGTAGGGCAAGTTGGTGACAGTGAAATTCAGCTGGAAGTGCTGGGGGCTGGGGCTGCTTGTTGGTTTTTCTGTTGGTAGATGAACGGATGGCTCCAATTCTGTCATGAAAAGAAAGTATCAGAGTCCCACCCACGGAAGAGGGGAATAAAGAAGTTACTCCATCCATCCGTCTCCTTATTCCTGGCAACATAACCGGAGCTGGGTTTTACGGGTGGGCTACTGAAGACCCTCCATCTGCCTATGCACCTTGCATCTGTCCTTCTGTCCATGCTTCCAACTCTCCACCAAGCAGGACGGACGGCACTGGTAACCCCCACCCGTCAAGGCTGGTTCACACACAGTCTGGAGCCATCTGGCCACGTGGCTTTCAATACAGAGGTAAGAGAGAGATGTCCACAGAGGGGAAGTGACCAGTTTGAGGTCACAGAGCTATCTAAGAGAAGGCAAGCGCCTCCTAGAGCCCGTTGGGTTCTTTTCCTCTTCCACAATGGCTGGTAAAGCCTGGGACTCTGCCACCTCTTGCCAGCCTGAGAAAGTGCAGTGCTGGCGCATGCCCAGGCCTTCGGGTTCCATGTGTGGAGGCGAGAGCCCCCACTCCTGCCCCACTGACCAGGAAGCCTTACCATCCACGAGGATGCTGTCCCTGTCCAGGGTGAAGTTCCGCAGCCGACTGCCATTCTGGGTCAGCCACAGGAATTCCTCATAGATGGCAACTCTGTCCAGCCTCCGAGCCAGTGGGGAGAATGTACACAGGGAGCCCACCCCAGTGTGGCTGGTAGAGGGGACAGGCCTGGAGGGACACAAGGGATGAACAAGCACATCTAGAATTCTCCCCCCATCCTGGGTTCTCTGCTTCTAGGTCACGTCCAAGAGAACTTTCTGCAATGATGTACACATGGGTGTCCACTCTATGCAATGAGGTCATTATCAGCCTCATGTCGTTCCTGAGCACTTGAAATGTGGCGACTGTGGGTGAGGAACTGTACGTCTCATTTTATTTAAGTTAATTCATTTATAAATAAACAGCCACAGGGAAAACACTTTGAAATGTTTGGAGTAAGGATGTGCAAGAATCCACAAAATCATTGAGAGCAGGGGCAAAAATGGTCAAAATCAACTTTTTCAGAATCTAGACATTAGCTGAAGACTTGCAAAAGTTTGAGAATCATTTAGTTAAGAAAAAAACCTGTTGAATCTTGGTAAAGGGAGCATGCTTTGTGGCATGATAACTTGCATTATTCAATCCTGTTCTCTCAACATCCTCAGTAACTTTGAAAACCAACAGTCTTGGAACCATGGTTAATTAGGAAAATGTGCAGGCTGCCAGTCATCATGTGTTTGGAGCTCCTCCCAATGAAAAGGCAATTTGCCAAACGGGAGAAAAGATTTGTAAAATAATATATCTGATGAGGTTCTAGTATCCAGGATACATAAACAGCTATTATAATTCAACAAGAAAAAATAAATAAATTCAACTTAGAATTGGGCAAAAGACTTGAGTACACAATTCTGCAAAGATGATATACACATGGCCAAGAAATACATGGCAAAATGCTCAACATCACCAATCGCTGTGAAAATGCAAATCAAAAGCAGAGTGAGACACCGCTTCACATCCACGAGGATGGCTACAGTGAAAAAAAGGACAATAACAATTGTCAGTGAGCATTTGGATAATTTGCAAACCTACTACATTGCTTGGAATGCAAACGGTGTGAAGTGAAAATGTAAATGGGTAAACGTAAAAGCCTCTGTGAAAAACAGTTCTGTAGTTCCTCCAAAGTTAACGGAATATTCATAATTATCCTACAGTACCATGCATGTGTATATACCCTATAAAACTGAAACACAAGTTCATACCTAGGAATGATCATAGAAGCATTATTCATAATAGAAAAAAAAGCAGAGACAACCCAATATCCATCAATGGATGAATGGATAATGAAAAGTGGTCCGTTCATACAGTGGCATATTAGTCAGTTATGAAAAGGAATGGAGTCCTGACACATGCTACAACATGCATGGATCTTGCAAACATTACACTCAGTGAAAGAAGTCAGCCACAAAAGACCACCTAATGTAAGATTGTGGTACCATGAAATGTCCAGAATAGGCACAGCCATAGAGACAAAAAGTAGATTATTGTTTGCTGGGGCCAGAGGCAAGGGACAGGAGTGTCCACTCATGGGGACAGGGTTTCTTTTTGGTGTGATGCAAATATTCCACCATTAGACAGATGTTAGGATGGCTGCACCACTCTGTGGCTACACCACAGGGCAGCAGACGTCTCTAGAGGGATTAGGTCCAGTGTTGGAACTCACCTGAATGCTGAAACCTCACAGTCAGAAAAATAAGTTTTAATGCTGCTGTTTTGGAAGAGCTGGTTGAGCTGAAAGACAGGGCAACGTTTCCGTGGTCAGAATCCCAGGCACCAGTGCATCACAGAACTTTTCACCACTGACAGCACCTGCCCATCTATTTATTGTTTCTTATCTCAGCAAACACTAGCCCAGGTAGGTGTACCAAAGGACACCCCTTCCCAGAGCATGATTTGGGTATATGACCCTGGGCTAGCTACTGAACCTCTGGGTGCCTGTTTCTTAATTTGCAAAATGGGAAAAAGAACTTGCCTTCTCGAATTGTTATGAAAAGTCACCCTCTGACTACCCAGGTCCATGAGTCGGTCTCTATGGAAACAGTGTGGGCATTAAGCCCGTTCTCACCGCAGCCTCGATGCTCCTCCTGTTCTGCTGGTACTGGGTGGAGCCTGGCTGGGCCATGTCCTGGGAGTAGGGCAAGTTGGTGACAGTGAAATTCAGCTGGAAGTGCTGGGGGCTGGGGCTGCTTGTTGGTTTTTCTGTTGGTAGATGAACGGATGGCTCCAATTCTGTCATGAAAAGAAAGTATCAGAGTCCCACCCACGGAAGAGGGGAATAAGGAAGTTACTCCATCCATCCGTCTCCTTATTCCTGGCAACATAACCGGAGCTGGGTTTTACGGGTGGGCTACTGAAGACCCTCCATCTGCCTATGCACCTTGCATCTGTCCTTCTGTCCATGCTTCCAACTCTCCACCAAGCAGGACGGACGGCACTGGGAGGACACTGGGCCCCTCTGGGGCACGGTCGGCAAGTATGGGTGGCAGCCGCCCCAGTGTGCATCCTTTGCTCACCACCATGGAGCCCCAGGGACACAGACGGTGGGAACTCAGCCAGCCCTGAGCGTGTCTCCATGTGTCTCCCTCCCCTCCTCTTCTTCTCCCTCCCAGTCCAGTCTCCGCAAAGCCCTCGGGATGCTTCCTGAGGCAGGACTCAAGTGTGTCCTGTTCCAGCACCCAAGAAAGCCCCCGCCTGGATCTTCAGCCTCAGCGGTCCACTCTGCCGCCCCAACATGTGAGTTCCTGCGGCACCAAACCTCACGGCTTTCCCCAGGACACTGTGTTCTTTCTATCTTCTAGGGGATGAACACTCGTGAGACAATTCCCTAACTCTACCCACTGGCTAGGTCTTGTTCTCCATCAGGCCTCAGTTTATTCATCACTTCCTACACAAAACTTTCCAAGACAGGCTGTGTGTCCCTCCTAGGGGGTTCCCACAGGCTCAAGTCCCCTTATTCTAGCAATTATCCCCATGTATCATCAAGGACATTCATGAAGTATTTATTGAATGAATGAATGAGTGAATCAATCTGTCAATCAATCCATGCGTGACTTCATAACTGGAAGGCCTAAGAAAGCAACTCAGGATCCCCTTTCCGTGGGGCTGGAAAGCTTTACATGTCAAATAATCATTCTCCCGGGGGCAGGTGCTGTGTGGCCACGGGTCATCACACAGGCCTCCAGAAAGAACCCCCCTTCCCTCCCAAACCTCTGCCCATTCCACTGCTACTGAGAAGCCCCAGCCTACTGCGCGGACCCACCACTGCGTGGAGCCGAGACACCAGCCACCCCACCTCGCACCTGTCACACGCACGTCTGTCAGCTGGTAGGTGGCAGCCAGCCAATGGAATGAGGAATTCAAGGTCTTGTCTAGAAAGACCTGCTTCACCACACTGGGGTCCAGACTGGAGGAGAACAGTGCTTTGACAATGACTGACATGGAGCCCATCCTAGGGACAGAGACCACCGGGACTCAGCCAGCACGCAGCACCGGTGGTGTTCCCGAGTTCCTGCTTGGCAGAGCTGAAGACGCAGCAGCAAGGTGAGAGATGGTGACCTGGGTGCCAGGCCTTCCGGGCTACAGGAGACACCCTGACTGAAAAAGCAAGGCTCCCAGGAGTTGGAAACGGACCCGTAATGATAAAAACAATAAACATTTACTGAGCACCTCGAAGAAGTGACAGACACATTTCCTCACCATCCCCCTGGTGGAGGGCATTATCCTGATTATCTCCACGAAGAATGGAGGTGAAGTGTGGAAATACTAGAAGTCAGCACCGTGTGCCGTGACCCACTTGTTCCCTGGAGCAGATGGCCTCGCCCATCCCCCCATCCCGCAGAGACCTGGGCTGACGCCCACCTCGGGCATTTCTCAGGCTGTTCATGGCACTTCTCTGGGCCTCAGTCTCCCCATATGAACAGTGGGGATGATCACGACCCACCTCACAGGTGGTCAGCAGGAAAGCATTTGGCGCAAAACCTGGCCTTGGAAAATGTTATTATTGGGCTGATTCGTGTTGAAAGTGTTCAAATGAGGAGAGAGAGGTGGATGGCGGGTGTTGGTGGCCCTCGGAGGTTAATGCTTTCCTCACCCACCCCCAGAAGACCTATGGAAAGAGATGGTAGGACAAGCACGTGGCGGAGGACAGCACTGTGTCCATGACTTCCAGTTCGAACACTGTGCCATGGGAGCTCAGAGCCGCAAGCCACCAGCTCAGCCAACACTTCCAGCCTCCACTTACGTCACGTCGGTGACCAGGCAGGAGCGGAATACGTCCTGTAGCCGGCTGCCTCTGTAGAGTCTGAAGATCTAGCATAAAGGGCATGGGGAGCAGGTGAGACGGTCGCTTGGAGCTGGAGGAGGCCACGGGAGCCAATACATGAACACTGGCCTTGGAGCAAGGGAGAGCTGAGCTCAAATCCGGGCTCTGCTGCTAACTTAGCATCTGGGACATGGGCAGGCAGGCAGCCAGGGCACCCCCTTGGGAAATGGAGAGGCCCTGGAACATGTAGGTAGAGTGGAGTGTTGAGGCCATCCCTCAAGAGGTGTGAGTCAGACAGAGGAATGAGAGGCCAGCCGGAGGGCAAGGGGGGGTGGGGCGGGGGCGAGAGAGGCCCCACCTTGTCCTGAACGTCCCTCAGCAGGGCGGTGCGCTCCGAGGACTGGGGGTCTGGGCTGCTGAAGTTCCGGTTGAGGATGCGGAAACTGAGCTGGTACTCTCTCAGGACAGGGGAGCCCTGGGGTGTGTAGCCTGGAGCCGCCAAGAGAAAGAGAAGAGAGTTGGAGACTCTTAGCTTTTAGCATAGAGTCATGGCCACTCACCGGTCCCTTCCCACTGTCAGGACCGGCCAAAGTCAGGCTCACACGCCAGGGGCTTCCAAATGGAAAGCCATCCCAAGGTGGGGAATTTCATAGGGAATCTCCTGAGCTGAGCTTTTCTGCTTAAGCTTATGCAGTGCATGTTTTCTGGAATGTTCTTTCACCCTCTTCTTTTCCTGGAAAACTCCTATTCATGTCTCAGGAGCCCAGTGAGATGGAGTCTAGGAGAGCAGAGACGCAGCTATCTGTTCTTGCCATGTCTCAGTGCCTAGCACAGTACCAGGCACATGATATCCTCTTCCAGGAAGCCCTCCTTGACTCACCCCTCCTCTGTGCTCTCAGGGCGCTCCATTAATAAGAGTGTCTCTGTCTTTTTTGTGTTGTTAAGTAATGTAAAGTTCACATGATTGTGAGTTTTTCAGGGACAGAACCTGTGTCTCCTACCCCTGGACCCAGCACGTGGTTGCACATATGTGTTTGTTGAATGAACGAATGTGAACTGCAGCAGATCCCCAATATGGGGGGCTGAAATATTCATCTTTCATTTGTTCCCTCATTCCCTCATTCATTGGGTACCAAGAGGTACTGACCTATGAAGAACTAAGGACAGGGCCACACTACATAGATCCTAATTTTGTAGAGTTGGATAATTAAACACGTTATGGTGATACAGCGTGACAGCTGTTGGTCTGGTGCCCATCTGGGAACTATCGGACCATAAACAGCAGAGTTTCTTATCCTTGGAACTACTGACACATTGGGGCCAAAGAATTTTTGGTGGTGTGTCCTGTGCACCGAAGAAGATATTAGCAACATCCCTGGCCTCTAACCACTAGATGCCGGTAGTATTTTCCCCACACTGCAACAATCAAAACTGTCTCCAAACACTGCCAGGTGTCTACTGGAGGCAAGATCACCCCCGAGTGAGAATCAAGGGCAAAGGGGAACGTGGCATAGCAGGACTCCTGCACCAATAGATTCCATGAGTCAGACATTCTGGTTTTGAACTGAAGTTCGTTGCCTTAATTTGGTCAAAGAATTTCACGCTATTTACCTGAAGTAACAGGAGAGACTCTCCCCGTGGAGCTTTGGGGATCGGTGTCCCCAACTAGAACTTGGGTTGACTTGCTAACGAGTAAATAAAATAGAACAGGGACAAGCATGACCGCCGTCAGTCCAAGTCCAGCAAGATCACTGACCGTTGACGAAGAGACTGTCTCTGGCCAGGGTGTAGGGGCCCAGCCTGGTGACACCGTGGGTCAGCTGGCTCAGCTCCCAGTACAGCCGCTCTCTGTCCGGCCCATGGCCCATGGGGTCAGGCCGGCAGGTGCAGACGGCTTCCACGCTAGTGGCTGCACTGTCCTTCTCAGGCCTGGGGACAGAGGGATGCCGGGACTTCTAAAGAGAGGTCCCGAAACCTCTGGGTGTGGGGCCCCAGAAGGAGGAGGAGCAATGGGAGGTCAGTGGGGAGGCTGAGGAAGGTCACCCTGAGAGGTCACTGCCAACGCACAGGAAAGGGTCTTACCTGAGGGAGATCGGTCTGCAACCTGAGTAGAAGGGGCCCAGGCTGCTCTTCTGCAACAAGGCTCCAAGCTGGGGAAGAGGGAAGAGGAACAGGGGTTGGGGAGGGGCCGGGAGGGATGCACCCCACCAGGCACGGCCGAGACCAGATTCTCACCAGGCCCCGCAGAGCCCTCTCGGTGCTGTTGAATGCAGCTGAGCTGTTACTCCCGTCTGTTGGATACTGGGGGCTGGAGATGGTGAAATTGAGTGTCAAGGTCTTCAGGTGGTACCCCAGAGCTGTGTGAAGACAGGGGGAGATGGCTGTCACCAAGGGCTGGCCTGAGACTTGATCAGAGACCTGCATTCATTAAAGCCTGATGCCTTCTCTTCCAGGCGCCTGCCACCCACCAATGTGGCCACCAAGTCCACACAGTGAACCCAATGAGTGCTTCCTGCCTCGCCTTCGAGGGTCACCAATACCACGTGCGGGTGGTCCTCACAGACGTCCCCTCTGTCCACCCGTCCCAGCTCGAGTCTTCTCTTCTCCCACTGGGACCAGCACCCTGGCAGACTCCCTGGGCACCCTGTCTAAAGGATGCTTTCTATGGTGGACCCTGGACGGGATTTTCTTCAGTGAAAATCTCACGCTGGTCCTCACTGTAGTGCCATTCACGGCTCCGTGTTAAGTCCGTGCTTCTTGGCCTGGCACTCAATGCCTCCCCAATTGCTCCCGCCAACCTTTCAACTTGGCTTATCCAGCCCCTGCTAAGCTCTGTGCTTCAGGCGAGTGAAATTCCTCTCCGTTCTCCCCATATGTGAGGCTGCTTTTGCCTAGGGAGGCTTTGCTCACGGCATCGCCTCTTCATCCCCTTTTGGCCTGGATGACTTCTCATTCTTAGAGACTCAGTTCAGGTAAAACTTTCTCCAGAAATCCCCTCCTCTCCAAATTATGCCAGGAGCCTCTCCCTAAAGCATCTCACACTGTATTGTATTTGTCTGTTAATTTCACAAAACTGGGGGGTCTCCGTGAGGCAGGCACTGGATTGGGGTGGGGTTGGCATCATCATTGTGATTGGCACAACTGCCCTGAAACCAGAATTTCACACCCTGGCTTCCCGGCTCCAGGGTGACCCTTGGCGGGTAGGGCTGGAAAGCTTTTCTTGGGGAGGAAAAGAGACCCCAGGTACCTGTGGTGGCTTCTGGCTGCAGAGGTGGTGATGTAGTAGGCAGGGATGCGGTGGCCAGGCTGGGGGCTGAGGGAAGGGCAGCCATCAGGGGGCCATGGCCCCCCACAGAGTGGGAGAAGCCCCCTCCCCAGGCACATGCAGGCCCCAGCAGTCGCTGCCCCAGGACACACACTCAGAGCTGTTCCATAATGAGAATGAGCCAAGGGGAGAGCATGTCTGTGGATGAAATGTGCCCGAGAGAGAGGGCGGGCGCAGAGGATGGACAGATGGACGGACAGAGAGACGCGACACCCGGATGGACAGGAAGAATGCACACATGGAGGGTCAGAGGGAAAGTGAGAAGAATAAAAGACAAGGAAGAGAAGCTGGAGAGGCAGATGGAAAGAAGAAGGGGGGAGGAACAGGCGAACGGCTGGAAGGAAGGGTGGACAGATGGTCAGAGAGGAGGCAGGAATACGCACAGGAACAAAGGTGGGGAGGTGGACGGGGGCACAGAAGGGAAGAAAGACCAAGAGGTGAATAAGCAGAAGGAAGGGTGGGTAGGTGGATGGAAAGATGGGTGGAAGGAAGGATGGCTGGACAGAAGGAAGGAAAGAAGGCTGGTGGGCTGGCGGGCTTGCAGGGAGGAAGGACGGGTGGATGGATGGACAGACAGTGTCTGAGAGAAGGGGCAACTGGGCGGATGCAAGAATGTACGGGTCAAAGATAGATGAACGGGCCACAGGATGAGCGCAGGGGAAAAGTTAGCCAAACCACGTAGCCACTGGAGTCTGCAGCTCACCACGGAGGCCACCCGCGGGGCCCTGCAGGGGATTCTGTGTTCAGGAGACACGGACTGCAAGGTCATGACCCGACCCCACCCCTTATTTCTCCAGGGAATGCTTGCTCAAGTGTGTCCCTCCAGCCCAGAGAGGGGTGGCACATTCAGAAGGCCGATACTGAGGCTGTAGGTCCAGAGAGGCCGGGGACTCAGCATTCTTCGTCCTGCCTTCTGTGCTCCCATCCACCTCCCCAGCTTTTGTTCCTCGTGTTTATTCTCTCCTGGCCCCACTCGGGAGGCAAGCCCCCCTTGTCAGGGAGGAGAAGAGTTTGGCCCGAGACCCGTGGGGGCTGAAATGGGCCCTGGAGGCAAACCATACGTACTGGTAGGAGGTTCATCGGGACCACGTTCGTTATAACCTGGAGAGAAAGAGTCACCCATCAGGCGAGGTGCAGAACCACCCCAGCTATTCCGTGCCTCTGTCCTCCCGGGGCTCCTGCCAGGTGCCTTTCTCTCTGTGCACCAGGTGAGCACGCAGGCATCTTCTAGGATCAGACACAAATGTTTTCTCCACTCTAAAGGCTTTCTTGGTCTTTCAGTTCAAAACGACCCTTCCCTGCCGACCTATCTGTGCCGCCAACAGAGGCTGTCTTCCCATTTATGTTTGCGTAGGTCTCCATCCACCCACCCACCGTCTTCCCTTCTACCCTCCCTCCTGGCTGGATCTCCAGCCAGTGCCTATTTCTTGAGGGTTTTCTATGTGCCAAGGTCCATGGCTTGGGGAACAGAGCACCGAATGAAGATCTCTGCTCCACTGGCATGTATAGCAGGATAGGTGACCCACGTAGTCTATCTCTGTCCCTGAGGCCGGGCACACGGCCTGGCTTGTGGCCGTTGCTTGGTAAATGCCGAATGAGTGAGCACATGAAGGGAATCCGTTGCGTGGTTTACAAGGGGGGAAATCCTAAACTGATCCATCCAGGGGTTGAGGCAAAAGGAACGAACGTGGACTCAGAACATCCAGACCCAGACTGGCCACGAATCTGGATGTGGGCAGGTCCCTTCCCGTCCTTGTATTTCTATTTCCTTCTTTGCTAAATTGGGGGTCAAAGGCCGAGGACATCTCCCTGCCCACCCGATGGGGCAATGGTACAAAACACCATTCTCAGATTGGGGGCAGAGACGAGGGACAGAGAGTTACCCCAATCAACCTCACCACGGCCACGCCCTGCCTCCCTAAACCCCAAATGAGGGTCACCCCTCTTAAATGTCCCTTCCTGGATTCTAAGCCGATGCGCAGCATGTCGGAAGCTTGGAGCCCTTAGACGTTCAGAGGGCCTCCATCCCTTCCTGGCTTAGAGGCCCCATTCAGGAGAGAAGCCCATTGCTGGTCAAGGGCAAGAAGGAAGTGGACAGGAGATCAAGAAGGGGATTCTCTTAGCCCAAGAATCCCCTGGAAAGACTCTTCTGTGAATTAAATGCATAGCGTGGACCAGGGCACTGGATGCTGACAATTAGGGATCATGCCCGGCTCCACCACCCTCAGCCACACCCACATGGGCAAATTACTGAGCCTCTCGGGACGTCAGTTTCTTCATCTGTAAAACAGGTGTCACCCAGGACCAGCCTGGCAGGATGGCTGTGGGGGTCAGCGTGGAGCTGAGGTCCATACCTGAGTCGGTCTCAAGTTTTCCCCTGAGAACTAACTGGAAAATGGAGAGCCTTCGGACGCCAGGGCCGGGCCCCAGTGAGGCGGGCTAAGAGCTGCTCACCATTGAGGTAAAGGCTGTCCTTGTCCAGGGAGTAGGGGCCCAACCGGGTGATGCCACGGGTCTGCTGGCTCAGCTCATGGAATACCCTCTTGGCGAGCAGCCCTGGGCTGCTGGGGGGCCGCAGGTAGGCACAGAGGATGTCCACCCTGGTGCTGGCACCGTTCTTCACAGACCTGGGGAAGGAGAAGGTGACTTGCGGGGTGCAGCCCACTTGATAAATGGGCCACTGGATGTGTCCCATCATCCTGTTCTCTGTGGCAGCCTGTTGGGCCATCTGCAGTTTCCTCCACCTGGCCACACTCTGTCACCTCTGGAGCTTTGCACACGCAATGACTTCTGTCTGGAAGTCTCTCCCCTTCTCCCCTTACCCGAGTAACTTCCCAGGCCCCCTTCGTATCTCAACTTAGATGCTTCTTCTTCCTTCTAGAACCCTTCTAGGCTGGTGCAGGAGCTTCTTCCAGCCCCCAGAGTATCCCGTGGTTCCTCCATCCCAGCCCTGGTCACCCTCGATGACAGCATGTATTCCATGTCCCTGTTCCCTCCAGACGGCGGCTGCCATGAGGTCAGGGAGTGGAATGGCCCAGCTCACTTTGACATACTGAATCCCCGGCACCCAGCACATCGCCTGCTCCGTGTAAACACCAAAGTCCTGATGGATGGATAAACCATACATGATCTAACCACACGGGAACAGTATCAGCATTAAAAAGGGGAGGGAATCCCGACACCTGCTACAACATGGACGAACCCCGAGGACACTGTGCTAAATGAAAGAAGCCAGGTGCACAATGACACATACTGTATAATTTCACTTATATGAGCCACTCAGAGCAGGCAGATTCATAGAGACACAGAAGAATGGTGGTTCCAACATCCAGACATAAAGAGAAATGGCAGGGAGTAGGGGTGCAGGGTCACTGTTTAATGGGGACAGAGTTTCCATTTCGCAAGTTCTGGAGATTCAGCAATGCAAATAAATTCAACACTACCAAAACGGACACTGAAAAGTGGTTCTGATGGTAAATTTTATGTGTATTATATTTACCATAATTTTTTTAAATCAGTTTTCTTCGAGACGCTCCCTGGGGGAGATGCTGCTGATGTCCCCAATCTCCCCTCCTTCTTCTCTCTCCCTTGCTCTGCCCGTGTTCCCACCACACTGGCCTCCTTGCTCTTCACTGAACATGCCAAGCTTATTCCCACCTCAGGACCTTTGCACATGCTGTTCCCTGTGCCTGGAACAGTGTTCATGCCAAACTGAGACACAGCTCAGAACTTGCCTCCATGGTAAGGCGACCCCCATGCCGCTGGGTAAAGTTGCTCTCCCATTGCTTTCTATCTATTTATGTTTCAAATCGCTTTACTGTGTTTGAGATCACCTCACTTAGATATTGAGCCTCCTGCTTGGTGTGTATTTTCCCCACCAGGGGAGGCAGGGGCAGGTCTCCAGCTGCTCAGAGATGCTGTACCATTAATGACTGTTGAATGAAAATGCAAATGGACACGGGCTTTGTAAATACCAACAGAACTCAAACTGACCTAAGACATGAGACTAATTGTCCACTGGGTATGGAGTGATGAAAAAGCTTTGGAACCAGATTGTGGTGATGGGCGTGCAGCATCATGCATGTAATCGATGCCACTGGACTGTATGCTTGCAAATGGTTAACACGGCAAATCTTGTGTTTCTATGTTATCACAATGTAAAAAATTAATAATGTAATACTAAAAAATAGATGGAGAAAAGGACCCTCCAGGATAGCTTGCTGCAACCGGGGGCAGCTGCCACAGTCAGAAGCCTGCGTCCTTCGGTGGGGAGCCGTGGGGGTGTGGGGTGTGCTCACCGTAGCAAGGTGACCTTGCAGCCTGTGTATTGGGCACCCAGGCTGCTCCTCTGGAACAACGGGCCGAGCTAGACAGGAAGGAGAGAGCCAGCGGTGGTCATAGGTGGAGATGGTCCCCAGGATGGGTCATGGAGGACAGGGTGTGGGTGAGGGAGGAGGCCTCTCACCAGGTGCTGCATGAGGCTGTCTGTGATGTTGAACTTGAGCGAGCTGGGGTGGCCCATGTCCGCCGAGTAGCGCAGGTTGTCGATGGTGAAGTTCAGTGAGAATGGCTCTTTGCCCACCACCCCGGCTGTGGTAGGCAGAGACAGCCGAGGCTTGCAGGGGGTCGAGGGGCCCAACGTCTACCCTGGGGGAGGCTTCTGGGTGCCTCTTGTACTCCTCCCAAGAAAGCCCAGGGTCACTTGTGAATGCAGACAATTCCAGAAGCAAGCAAGGGCAGGTGTAATGATCTGGGGGCTTGAGATGGGGATCTCCGGCAGGCGCAGGGGCGGGGGGCCCTGTGAAGGCCCTGGTGGCTTTGCTGCGTCCTGGGAGGAGAGGCTCCACCTGGCGGTGCTGATGTGTAACTGGCGACCCAGGCACTTCCATGCACGTTCCCTCTGCTCCCACCACCCCGTCTCTGTCTCTTAGTCTCTGTGCTTCTGTCTCTGTCTCCCCCTCTCGATAGATTGGATACATCTATGCTATATGGAAAATATGTATATAACTGAACTTCCGTACAGATCTATTTCCATCTGCAGATACATACTATCCACATGCATATCTATGCCCTGTGCTTACAGCCAGGTATGCCAATCTTCTCTGCACTGCTTACAAAAAGCCAACTAGCACCTATATCCAACCTCACTGCACCTTATTCACTCATCTATGAGATGGGACCAAAATGATGCCTATTTCAAAGGCTGTTGTGAGTTTTAAGTAAGTTAATTTCTATAAAGTGTGTAAGCACAGTGTTGTGCACAGAGAAAACACTGCATTTGTTATAAAAGACAAATAAGAAAACGCTTTCGGATGACTTACAGTGTGCAGAGCTTCCCCGCCCTCCATCCCTGTCTAGACATCTTCCCTCTCTCCCTCCCTTCCTTCTTCCATTCGTGACTCCTTCCACCCACCCACCCATCCACCCATTCATCCATCCCTCTTTCCGTCCACCCACCCCTTCCTTCCCTTCACCCGGCCATCCTTCCCCGGTGCACATCAAACTGCTCCTGTATTGCTCCTGGGACCGTTCCTAGGACTACAGCCATGATAAACGAAGCAGTCAGTGGAGCTCCCTTTAACTCACTTATCCTCCTGTCATTTGGGAACAGATGGTTGTTACGGGGCGTCAGGAGCCCAGAGCTCTGCGTGGTTGGAAGCAGGGAAGGGGGGCACTGTGGCGTAGCAGACCCGTGATGGACCCAAGGAGAGAGCTCGAGAGGGTTGCCCCAAGGGCCAGGGTGATTAATTCTCGCAGATCCACAAGGTTCTTATCACAGGGTTTTGCGGGGGATGTGAAAGGGGAAAAGGAGCTTCGCCCACACACTTGAGCATAACCCAAGATTAGCATATCTTCAGGAATGAATTAACTGACGATGAGTAGCACAGAGCGTGATCATGCTATGAGTCTGGGAGTTACAGGAACTCTGGGGTCTGTAATTTATTTGCTGCGGGACTGGCAGCCTCTCTGAGCCTGAGTTTCCACATCTGTAAAACGGAGCCGAGTCACAAGGTTGTAGAGAGAATGAAAGGACAGTGTATGGGTTTGGGGATGAATTGTGCCCCCCAACACACCCCAGATTCCTATGCTGAGGTCCCAATTCCCAGGACCTCAGAATGTGACTGTATTTGGAGACAGGCCCTTTAAAGAGGAGGCCGAGTTGAAAAGAGGCCACTGGGGAAGGCCCTTGATCTGATCTGACTGCACTGCTAGGCGTGTGGAAAAGGAGATGGGGACACACGGCCTCCAGAAATACGTGCGGCAGTGAGGAAGCCACAGGGCCGTCATCTGCAAGGCAGCGAGAGGCCTCCCGGGAAACTAGCCCTGCCAGCACCTTGGCCTGGGTCTTCCAGCCTCCAGAACGGGGAGCAAATACATTTCTGCTATTGGAGCCCCCAGTGGGTGGCATTGTTACGACGCGCTAGCTGACTGATACAGGAGGTGACAGAATGGCGCAGGAAGGCAGTCGTTTCAGTAAGAATTTAAAAATTAAAAAAAAATTTTTCAATCACTGAAGATTCAATAAGCATCATGCAGCCCTCAGGCTGAGAAGCTCTCAGAACAAGCTGAGGTGCGAACAGGATAAGGAAAGAGTACTGAGGGCGGGGCTTCAGCAAAACTACAGTGACAACCATGTGAGGTCGGCAGGTGTCTAAGACCGTCCCACCCTGGGCCGGATTCGCCCTCAGAGCTTGGGAGCGAGAGACAGGAGGAGGCAGGCGCCCTTCCTAGTGTCTCTTGCAGAGGACAGGAGGCTAAGGAGATTGACTTCTCCCCAGTCCTGACGTGAGGACAGGAGCCAGAAAATGGGGGCCGGGAATACTCACCGGTGGTGGTCGGGGCCGAGGCTCTGTAGGTGTGACCTGCAGAGGAAAGGCCAGAGAGGCTGAACCAGAGCTGAGGAGACATCAAGGCTCAATGCAAGGGAGGACTGGGGAGCTTTGTGGGAAAAGCAGAAGGGGAAGAGGTAGAGGGGAGGTGTTCAGGCAGGAGCCTAGCTGGACCCAGGAATCCCCTCATTCACCGAAGACAGCCCAGATCAGGAGGAGAGATGGGGGCAGCTCCCTGGAGAGAAATGGACGCAATACAAACTCCAGCCAGGAGTGAGACCGCGGCTGCAGCATCGCCTCTCACCATTGACGCAGAGACTGTCCCTGTCCAGGGTGAAGGGGCCCAGCAGGGTGCCTCCGTGCGTCTCACGGCTCAGCTCCCAGTACAGCCGCTCTGCGTCCAGCCTGGGGCCCACAGGGCCAGAATGGAAGGCGCAGAGGATGTCCACTCTGGTAGCTGCCCTGTCCTTCTTGGGCCTGGGGAAGGAAGGACAGGGGGACGAGGAATGCTGGGAGGAATCCCTCCGGGTGTGGACGTCAAGGGAGGAGGTGAGGGGGCTGGCCCTGAAGCGTGGAGGGGCTCTCCTAGGTGCCGTTCACCTGGGACAACCCCCATGCAATTAGGGACAAAAAAATTCTCAGCATCTGCAGACAAGATGCATTGGTCCTTCTCAAAGGAGAGGCTTCATTTCAAAAAAATGTCATCTGGATTCCATAAAGGATCAACACGATGCGCCATTCCTACGAAGCTTTAAGCATTCCCAGCACCTGGGCATGAAGCAGGCACGCAGGTTTTGGTGGGCACCGAGGCCACAGTGCTGGGGGCCCTTTGGGACCTGAGCCACACTGGCCGCTGCATGAGGGCCCACCTGACCTGAGGGATCAGCCCATCTGGGGGTCTCACCTGAGCGAGGCCAGCCTGCAGTCAGCACCGAGGGGGCCGGCGCTGGTCTTGTTGAGCAGGAGCCTGAGCTGGTGGGAAAGGCAAGGAGGTGAGTGAAGGGTGGAGGTGAGCGAGGGGGTGAGGTGGGGCAGCTGGCCACTGCGGGGCTCTCACCTGGGGCTGCAGGAGCCTCTCGGTGGAGGTGAACTTCAAGGAAGCCGGACGCCCCATGTCCTCGGTGTACTCCATGTTGGTGACGGTGACGTTCAGGGTGAAGGACACCAGGGTGGGGCCAGTGGCTGCAGCAGGGGAGGGACAGAAAGACGTCCCGGCCGATCATAGCCGTGACCGAGGCTGCCTTGGGCTCTAACCGTGGAGCCCCCACAGCGGACTCGGCACAGTCAAGGGCAGCAGGAGCTGCAGGAGATAACGTTAGGGAATTCTGAAGATATTAGGAAGCTTTGCCTGTTCAGGCAGGGAGCATTTATTAAGCGCCTGATGTGTGTAAGGCTCTGTGCTGGGCTCTGTGGGTCCAAAGACGAATAGGGCATAGTCTGCCAGTGTCATGGCCAGCACAGTGACCACCAGACCGTCATGCTGCAGGGAAGCCAGGCAGATGTGCGATTCCAGGAGGGGCACCCAACTGATGGAGGACGGCTTCTCAGAGGAAGCATCCTTTCAGCTGAGACCAAACGCATGTATGAGGGTTAGGGGGTGGGAGTGGAGCAAGGAGGAGAGAGCTCAAGCTCTCCTTGCAAGGAACAGCACGGGTACAGGCCCGGAGGCAGACAGAGCAGGGCCCTCAAAGAACCTGAAGTCCTTCCATTATGGCTGTGAGGCAGTATAGACATGAGACTGGACGGATCCTCTGAGCCCAGAAAGGGGAGGCGGTGACCATGCAGTGCGGGAGTTTGGATGTGATCTGTAGACCAGGTGGGGTCACTGAAAGACTGTCAGAGGACAGGGATTATGTGGACAGAGGTACATTGGGAAGGGATGCGACGGCTGCTCTGTGGAAGACTGTAGGAGGCCAGAGCACAGGCTACTGTAATGGTCCGAGCAAACAATGCCGGTGGCCTGAATAAAGGCTGAGTGCAGCAGATGAAGGGAGTAAGATACTCCAAAGGAGAAGAGCTGACCTGGTGACGGAAGGCCGTCAGAGGTGAGCCAGAGTGAGGGTCACTCTTGGCACCTCTGTCCCTGCCTTTGGTGATGAGGAGAAAGAATAAATTTGGGAAGAGGTGGTGACTGTAGGGTCAGAGTCCAAGAGGTTGGGTGACGTCTAGGAGGTGGACGGAGCTGCTGTGTGGCCTGGGACGGCCTCAGGATTTGGGGTCTGAACAGCTACATGGCTACCGAAACCCACTGGGTGGGGAAGGAAGAAGTGATCTCATATCACTGCTTTAGAAGAAATGATTTTGGAACCCATAAGAGCCTTCCTACCTGTGGGTCTGGTGGTGGGGACGGACGTGGAGGTCCCAGCGGCTGAGGAAGAAAAAAGACCATCAGGAATGAAATCCAAAGCGTGCTTTGCCTGTGGGGGGATGATGGCAGCAGTGGGTGCTCTGGTTATAAAAATACGCATCTCTCTCTGGGCCCCATTCGGCCTGGGACGGGGCGGCAGCCTCGGTTGTGTGTGGGGAGGAAGGGGGTTGACTCCTGTCGCCTCCAGCTCAGCCCACATTTCTCTCCATGTTCTCTGGACTCCTTCCCATCAGGAGGGAAGGGCTGGCTGGTTGAGTGGCTCCTATTTTGAGGGAAAGGACAGTGGCCACAGGTACACAGAGCTCTGAAATACTCACTCCTGGGGGTGGTGGCTGAGGCCGGATGGGTGTGACCTGCAGAGAGAGGGAGAGATGGGGACAAAGAGGCAACGACCTGGTCCCTGGGGAGATGACCACTGGACTGTCACAGCTGCGCGGCAGGGAAAGGAAGCCAGCATGCCCCCCTGGAAGGGCTCAGAATCTACCCCACCCCTCCAGGAACACAAAGGCCTTGCTCAAAGCCCTGAGATGGGAGCCCCCTGCACCCTCTCCCACCCCCTGGGAGTCTGAGCTGGCCGTGGACCCCTGCTGCAGCGGAACTTACTCAGGGAGGAGGCCCCCCGGGCCCCAGCACAGCCCCCACCACGGATGCAGACACTGTCATCACAGAGGCCGGGTGGGGGGGAAGGCACCCAAGGGCTTGGGGTGGGGACCTCATGGCCCTGGGGATGCTAGGGAGCAGGGGCCCACGCCTGTGGCTTCAAGGTCTGTAGGTTCCCATTGTCAAAGGGCTAGGAGTAGCACAGGGATGCAGAAAGGGGGCGGCGGGCCCCCAGCCTCTTCCATCCTAAGGGCTGGGACTCCCAGGACTGTAGAGACTTCTGGAGCCCCTGCACACTCACTGCTGAGGGTGGTGGCCTGGGCCGGGTGGGTGTAACCTGCGCAGGGAGAGGAAGAAAGGATGAGGGAGGGGGGATGGGGGCGGGGAGGATGTGCGGCCTGTTGAAATGCTAAAAAGGGCAGCCCCTCACCGCTGATGCAGAGACTGTCCTGGTCCAGGGTGTAGGGGCCCAGCCTGGTGACACCGCGGGTCAGCCGGCTCAGCTCCCGGTACAGCCGCTCTCTGTCCAGCCTGGCATCTGGAGGGTGAGGGTGGTAGGTGCAGACGGCATCCACTCCGGTGGCTGCCCCATCCTTCTCAGGCCTGGGGAGGGCGGGCGAGGGGGTGACAATAAGTGGAGTCCCCAGGGAGGGCTCCTGAGAGCCTTGGGGACAGGACTGGAAGGAGCCGGGGGGATAGGAAAGGGGGATAGGAAAGGGGACCGAGAGCTGAGCAGCCGGACGTGCATTCCCTGCAGCCAGCTGGGAAGGTGGGCATCGGCCGCTGGGGGACCGGGCAAGGGAGAGGAACGCGGAAGGGGGTAAGGAGGGAACTTTTATGGAATTGTAGGTTGGAGACCTGCAACCTCGTGGCATGGGGACAGGAGAGCGCCTACTGGGGACAGAGGAAGAGCTGGGATTTGGGATTAAAGCCAGTGGAAAAGGCACGTTGGTCATGAGAGGAATCCTAGGGACAGAATGAAAACCTAATAGGAATGGCCTCACTGGGCAGAGGGAACTGAAGGAGGAACTCAGAGGGCGGCCAGACGGTGCTGCGTCCTGCAGAACCTGGGGACAGCGGGGAGAGGGGGCTGCCATCAGAAGGGGCCCTGCTCCTGGAGCCAGTGCCGCCGGAACTGCCGCGGGTCTGGACAGGCTGGGCAGGAAGGAATCAAACCAAACTCCTCGGGTCTGGGAGCCCTTGGGCAGCCTGGGGGCTCTTCCGAGGTCTCACCTGAGCAGGGTCAGCCTGCAGCCAGAGTACAGACGGCCCACGCTGGTGTTCTTGAACAAGGGTCCGAGCTGCAGGGGAGGGGAGAGGAAAGTGAGCAGGAAGTCCAGGGCTTGGGAGCAGGGCAGAAGCGAGGGGGCGGGGCTGGCGCCAGTGGGCGGGGAAAGGGCGGAGGGGGCGGGACTGACCACAGTGGGCGGGGCTCTCACCTGGCCCTGCAGGATCCTCTCGGTGGAGTTGAACTTCCAGGAGCCCCGGGTGCGCATGGCTTCTTCGTAGTACAGGTTGGTGATGGTAAAGTTGAGGGTGAAGGGCACCAGGAAAGGGGCCGCTGCTGCAGCAGGGGAAGGAAAAAAGGAGACCACGCCTGAAGCAGGCCTGGGCTGGGCTCTAAGACAGTTTCCAAGGACTGAGATGGAGGGTCGCGGATATTAGGATGTGGGGTTCAAAGGAGGCAGGCAGGCTGTCTCTGGACTGAAGATAGAAGGCCAGATAAGGAGCAGAGCCAGATGCTGTTGAATGCAGTAGCAGGCCCATCCTCAGGATGGCATTGTAAACAAACTTAAAAAAAAAATACAACAACTAAAAAAAACCCCAAATGGCAAATAAGTGTTGGTGAAAATGTGCAGAAATTGGAACCCTTCTGCACTGTTGGCAGGAATGCTGGTGGAGGGACTGTGGAAGAGTTTGGTGGTGCCTCAAAAACAGTCATTTATGCTCCGTAATTTCCCTAAAAAGTATGATTTCTGTAGGATCCCGCAAGCTCGCTCCTGGGTCCATACCCAAAAGAACTGAAAACAGGCACTCAGACACTTGGACAGATGCATTCACAGCAGCACCACTGACAGTAGCCAAAAGGTGGAAATGCCCGGTGTCCACCCACAGGTGAATAAACAAAATGCCTGCAGTGGATTAGTACTCAGCTGTCAAAAAGGACGGGGAATTCGGACCCCGGCCACAACACAGATGAACCTTGAAAACATTCTGCTCAGTGAAGTAGACCAAACACAAAAAGACAAATATTAGATGATTCCACTTACAGGAGGTCCCTAAAATAGTCCAGTGAATAGAGACAGAACATAGAATAGAGGTTCCCAGGGCCTGGGGGAGGGGGGTTATGAAGAGTTCATGTTTGCTGGGAATAGTTTTTGTTAGGAAGGTGAAACATCCCTGGAAATGGATGGCGGTGGTGATAGTACTACAGCGTGAATGTATTTAATGCCACTGAACTGTATATACTTCAGAACAGTGAAATGGTAAATTCTATGTTGTGCATACAGTAAAGATAATTTTTTTGATGCAGCAGTGGGGTCTAGAAATAAGGAGCCTGTGTAGCCCCCAGGTCTGCCTATGAGGCCGGGTAGGTGGCCAGGGGTTGAGTGCCTGGACCCGGATTGGCTCCGACAGATTCTATTTCACAGGTTAAAAGTACCAGGATTGGAGCAGTCTCATCCCCTGGGGGCTGAGAAAGGAGAAAAATCCATTCAGTCCCATCCAACATGGAGGACAGATTTATAAAAAACCTGAGCCGAACATCAGTCCTTCACAAAGACCTCTCACCGGCTCGCCACCCTACCCAATCCCATGATGCTCAGAACTTGGCCTTGAATGAAGAGACCACGGGGGAGAGCTGTGGTTTCCATGGGTACAGCCACACCAGGGAGTCAGCTTAATGCCCTCTGTGCCCTTCTCCATCCAGATGACCCCTGGGCGTGTCACTCAACCTGTGTGTACAGCAGTTCCCTGCGATCCGTGGTTGGGCTCTCTGCGTTTTCCGTCTCTGGCGGTCAGCCACGGGCCGGAAGCAGACGGCCCTCCTGACATGCACTTGAAGGTCAGCAGGAGCCTAATGCTGTATCAGGCATTTTACCATCTCACACCATCACGAGAAGGGTGAGGCCAGCGCAGTAAGATATTTTGCTAGAGAGAGAGCACATTCACATCGCTCTTATTACAGTGGAATGGTTTTATGTTATTAATTATTGTGCATCTCTTACTGTGCTCTCTTTACGAGTTCAACTTTATCACAGGGATGTATCGGTAGGGGAAAAAAAATAGTGTAAATGTGGTTTCAGGCATCCACTGGCAGTCTTAGAACATGTACCCCGTGGGTAACTGGGGGAGTTAGTGTACCTCCTTTTCTTCAGCTGTAAAATGGGGAAAATCATACTTTTTAGAGACATTACGGAGCATAAATGACGGTGAAAGAAGCACATTTCAAGGCATTATACAGAGTGAAACAAGCTGGTTCCCGGAGGTTGCATGTTGTGTGATTCCATGGATATAACACCCTCAGAATAACAAAATTGTAAAAATGTAAAACAGAGTAGTGGTCGCCACGGGCTAGGCAGGTGGGTGTGACTATAAGAGACATTTGTGGTGAAACCATTCTGTATTATGACTATGCCGTGGTTACAAAAATCTTCCCATGTGATGACGTGGCATAAAACTACCCCTCCCCACTCCCACCACCCGACACACATACGAATACATATAAACTAGTGAAATATGAAATCTGAGGTTGTGGTTATTAACAATGTCAATTAATTTCCTGGTTTTGATATTGCACCATAGTTATGCAAGAGGTTAACCACTGGGGAGAAACTGGGTGCAACGTGAAAGGACCCCTGTGCTATTTTTTGCAACTTCCTGTAAATTTCCATTTATCTCAAAATGACATGTTCAAATTAGCAAATTAAAACTGAAAAGTATTAAAAATTAGAAAACAATAGTACATGGCCTGGCATGTAGTAAGTGCCAAATAGCACATGCCCAATAAATATTTGTCACGCTAAATTCCATGGTGGTCCCTGTGCTAAGGGTTGTGATGTATTTTCAATTAATCTTCACGATGACCACATGACGTATTATCATTCCCACTTGGCAGGTGAGGAAACTGAGGCACCGAGATGGTAAGTAAGTTGCCCAGGGTCGACACAGCTGGATGGATGGGGAGGACATATTCTCTGCTCTTGAGTAGCTCAGAGCAGAGCACGGGGAGCTCACGGCAGCTCCACATTCAGGCACCGTGACTTTTCTCTGCAACTCCCTGGTCCCAGCCTTGAGGCCTCCTGGAAGGATCGGAGGGAGAAGTGACCCACCTGTGGAGCTGGAGAAGAGGGATGGCCTCACCGAGGTCCCTGGGAAGGGCATGGAGGTGACAGCAGCTGAGAAGAAACAGACTGGAGTGAGAATGGGGATTCTGAGCAGGGCATGGAGGTCCCTGTGCACATCTTGTCTGTCCAGCTGGAGCCACTGACTGTAGAGGGGGTGGTGAGACCTCAGGTTCTCTGGCTTCTTATCTCCCCAAGGCTCTGAGCTGGGGCATCAGCTGCTGTCCACAAGGGGCCCTGAGTACTCACCACTGGGGGTGGAGGCTGAGCCCCGCTGGGTATAACCTGAAATGAGCACAGGAGACAGAATTGGGATGCAGGCAGGAGAAGGATGTGCACGATCAGCCCGAGGACCACCACCGCTGCCCCCAGCCGAGACTTCAAGGGGCAACTCTATCTTGTTTCTAAAAGGCAGAGGAGTCAAAGCTCCAGTTCCTGCCGCCATGGGCCTGCAATTTATTTGGGGAGATAACCATACCCAACATTTCTGGAACATGGGTCTACCAACGGTGCTTCTCAGGGTCTAGAGGGGATTTTGAGATGCTGATGGGAGGATGAATGGCCAGACTATGGAGTGGCCGGTGGCCTCTGCCAGAAGGATATTCCCTTCCACCTGCCTGGACAAAGGCTTGTGTGCCTCGGACCAGGGTACAAGCCGTGGCCCTGGAATGCAGGGAGGCAAAGGGAAAAGGAAGATTTGCAAAGTGGAGGGTCTATCGGGGTCCTTGAGTCATTAAGGGAGGTTGCTCAGGGGGGAGAGGATGCATAGGAAAGCAGGTCCTGTGGCAAGGGAGGTGGGTTTTTTTAATCTTCAACTCGGGGTTACGAAAAGGATGCTGACCATTGACATAGAGGCTGTCCTTGTCCAGGCTGAAGGAGCCCAACTGGGTGGCCCCATAAGTCCCACGGCTCAGGTCCCAGTACAGACTCTCTCTGTCCAGCCTAAGGCCCGTGGGGTCAGGACGGTGAGTGCAGACAGCATCAACTCCAGTGGCTGTTCTGTTCTTCTCAGGCCTGCGAAGGAAGGGACGCAGAAAGGGGAAGGTGTGCACTCCAGGTAGGGGTTCTCAAAACCTCACCGAGGGAGGGGACGGAGAAAGCAGGAGGACTGGTGGGCAGCCTGGAATGGATTCGATGCTGGAGGAATATTGGAAAAGAGTAGGAAAGCCAAGGTCCCTGAACACAGAGCATGAAGCATCTAGATATGTTGATGTCAACGCTAAACTTTAAAATGGTAAATGCAACAAGGCAACACACACCCTAACAACAGAAACAGGATGGAGGGGGTGGGAAGGAAGGAATCTAGAACTTGACCAGGTAGAAAAAGGCAATGTCAGATCGCTGAAATCCCAGCTGTGCTCTTCAATCGCTGAGATTCTGAGCAAGCCTCTCTCAGCCTCTCTGTGGCTCATTTTCTCCGTCCGTCAAGTGACATAATAGTACAGACCTCACAGCACTTAGCAGAGCTCTTGAACAAGCACTCAATCAAACCAGCCATTTTTACCAGGTACTAATAGGGCCGATGTTCCTGGTGTGAACAGATCTTGGAATGTGACAGACCGACCTTTTTGAAGGCAACACCGAGGCCAAGCCAGCCAGCCAAAGGTGGAGGTGGGGATCGGGCTGGGTGGTATCCCAGAGCCAGAAAAAATCTCAGGGCCAGTGGAAAGGGGAAGAGCCCTCTGTCATGGCTGGAGGACAACAGTGTGTACTTTTGGAGCTGGGGGCATCCCCTCCTCAGACAAAAGGTCGGTTACTGGGAGATACAACACAAGGTGATTCACGTGTGCATGTGGAACCCACGGGTTCCCACACGCTGGAATTGTTCTCAGTACTGACAGGTCAACCATTATCCAAAAATGTGACCCAAGTGGGAAAGAACATTCTACATCCTCTAGAGCAAGGGTTGTCAGTCTTGGCACTGTGGATATTTTGGATCAGGTATCTCCTGGCCCTGGGAGACGGTCCTGTGAACTGTAGGGTATTTAGCCTCACTCACTAGAGGCCAGTAACCTCCCCCACCCTTGAATTGTGACAGCAAAAAATATCTCCAGATGTTGCCAAATATCCCCAGGAAGCAATATCATTCCTGGGTGAAAACCTGCAGCTCTATCATGACAAAGGCAACAGGATTGACTAATTATTTTCTTGGTGAGTTCCAGAAGAAAGATCTTTGTGGGAAGTTCAATCTTATGTCCTAGGAGAGTCTGAGAGGATCCTGCCTTTACCAGTTAGGAACACCATGTGAGACAGCGTGGGAGCTGGCGGCCAGCGGCCCCCGGGAGAGCGGGTGCAGGATGTTACAGTCCGGCTCGTGATCCCCCGCCACCTCCCGTGTGGCCTGCGTGGCTACTCTAAAGTTCTCACCTGAGCAAGGTCAATCTGCAGCCAGAGTAGAGGGGCCCGATACTGCTGTTCTGGAGCAAGGGTTTGAGCTGGGAATGAAAGAGACGGAGGTGACTAGGTGGGCCAAGGGGTTGGACAGGGCAAGAATAGGCACTGCAGGCACACTGGTGGGGCTCTCACCAGGCGATTCAGGATCCTCTCTGTGGTGTTGAAGAGCTCAGATCCCGGAGGCGCCATGTCCTCTGTGTAGCGCAGGCTGGTGATGGTGAAGCTGACTGTGAAGGGCACCGGAGAAGGGCTCATGCCTGCCGCTGGAAAGGGAGAGAGGGGGTTCATTACGATCTCTTGCTGGCACGGCTGTATGTGCTGGGTCGAGGGTTGTCACCTTAGCTTCAGGGCCAGCAGTTTTGAAGCTACATCAATAGAAATGATTACATCTGAAGGACAAAGAGAAAAAAAAAGTGATTTTAAGAATGAACAGAGATTCAGGGACTTTGGAGATATCATTTCATTGGAGGACAGAATGAGAGAAGTTAGTGCAGGGAATCAAGAAAAGGTGCAGAAATGGTGGCTGGAATGTCCCCAGATTTCTTCAGAACATACATTTTCAGGACCAGGAAGCTTAGAAAATCGCCAATGGCATAAACTCAAAGAAAACCATCAGACAATCACAATCAAATTAAAGGCAAAGAACAAATCTCAAGTGCATCTAGAGAAACATGACATCAGCCATGGTGAAATGATTTGGTTTGCAGTGCATGCCACATATTTAAAAGCCTGCAGGATCTAGACATGGTGCATAAAGGTTCAGTCGATCAGGGTGGAGCAGAGAGGAAGTGGAAAGTGCATATCCTGCCTAAAGCATGTAAAAAAGTTGCAGTGTCTCGATTCACAAAACACAATTTCAAGTAAAGGACACCAGTTTGCGTCCCCAAACTCCAGACTGCCCAGCCTGCGCCATGTCATAAGCATGAAAAAGACCCATAGATTTAACTTCTAAAATAAATCTTAAAGGCTGGGGTAGGAGATATTTCATGGCATAAATCGAGCTCCTGTAACAGGTTCCCATAGACTCAGGAACCCTCAGACCCCCACATATAGGCAAGATGAGGACACAGAGCAAAAATCAAATTCATAACTAAGACCTGAGTGATTTTCTGGGCGCCCCAATAGAATCCACAAATGTGGGCATATACAGAGATCGCTTTATTCACTCATTCAATCAATAATATAGAGTGAGTGCAGCATGAATGCTTAGCTCTAGAGTCATAAAGACTGCATAAAGCAAATAGCAAACTTCATGAAAGAAACACCTATGACAGGGTAGAGAAAGCCGGTGAGCCAGGTAGGCATTCAGAAGGGCTGCTTCATAGAAAGTGGTCTAGAAAGGTCTTTCAGAGGACGTGACAGTTAAGCTGAGATTTGAAAGGCCGTAAGGTGCCAATCACAGTGGATCTCCAGGAAGAGTTAGTTGAAAGGCCAGACAGACATTCGAACACTAGAAAACGAGATTAAGTCTCTGGTGTGGTCAAAGTTTAGAGAATGAGGGACAGAATGAGTGGGACAGGCTGAAGCTGCCTGATTAACAGGGACCAGACCACGCAGGGTTGACGCCTCATAGGTCCCAGACGGCTACCTACAGACATGAGGATGGGGGACAGAGGTGTGGCAGATTCTGGAGAGAATGTAAAAATCACTGGAGCTGAGAATAAAGAACAAGGGGAAAATGACTGAGTGCCATCCTGAAAAAATGTGGGGCAGACACAGTTCATTGGAATTTAGGTTCCGATCATGACCCAGAGCATGACCATGGGTGGGTTAGGGGCGGTTCTGAGTCTGTAGCTGGGCATTCAGGGAGGGGCACTGGGGGCTTCTCTCTAGAGGAACGTGTTCTGGGGAATAGGGGTCCCCATAGGCACTGAAGTTTGGGTTTTGCATACTCACTGCTGGTGGTGGTGGTCCAGTATCGATGGTTATAACCTGTAGAAAGGGAGAAAAAAACAAAGGATTATCATGATGGGAGTTGAGGAAGGGGTGGACAACAGACCGAGACATAAAAGTCATGAATGAACTTTCTGAGGTTCATAAATGAGCATTAATGGCTGTATTTCATTCAGTGCCCTCATGTGCCTTGTCCTTTGAAAATAATGACACACATCATCACTATTATTGTTGCCAAGATAAAAATACAGTAACATCCTTTTCCCCTCTTTATTAGGAATGCATAGAAATAATGCACTGGGAATAATGCTCAGCACATTACAATCACAGGGCAAATTTATGAATGAGTCTATGTTCCAAGCCTTATCCGTGGTCTATCTATAAAGATAATTTTATCCTTACTCTCTTTGTTTCTCTTTACAAAGTTGTATGATAGCATGCTTTTTTTCATGTGTGTGTGTGTGTGTGTGTGTGTGTGTGTGTGTGTGTGTGTGATGTAGCACTGACAAAATTGTGGCAGGTTGAAAGAGTGGTAAGTGGAGGTCAAAGTTTAATGAGATGGGAGCATGGGAATGTACACATGGTTCGGAATATTAGAGGACATTTGGAGATGGGGTGGGATGATGAAAAAGAGAAGAGCCCTGGAGGTCGGAGGGAAGGTATAGAAATTGGAGACTGAAAGGTGCTGGAGAAAGAGAATTTTTCAGGAGTGTGTCTCTGGGTCACAGATTGCATCTCCTTTGATGCTCTGTGAGATGCGAGTAAATACCGGACTCAAGGGAGCCCTATGATTTACTTGGGTTGTCCCTGAACTATCTCATCTGACCGCCAGGACAATCCTGCGTGACAGGGGTGTATGGTCCACCACTCTACAAATGGACAGAGGTCACATGGCTTGTCCAGCATCACACAGCACCTAGATATGTCACTCACTCATCCCTATACTATTAATCACTGCTTTAAGTTAGTCCCAGTCCTGGAATTGCACCAATGGATAGAGAACAGGTTTGTGCTATTGTTCATACAAAGAAATACATATATTTCAAATCATACAGAAGGGAAATTTCCAAGTTGATGTAGAGCGGAAATAACTAACCAACATTAGGTTAGATTGTTAAGCTATGGGTCATTAATGCCCCTTTCTGTCCTGAGATTTGAGGCTTTCTCTATCTGGATAGTTTACAGGGTGGCCTTTGTGGTTAGGAACTTGAGGGTAAACTCATTCTTGATGTGACTGGCATCTCTGAGTACTGCCAAATGTTCCCTGGGGANCCTGAGATTTGAGGCTTTCTCTATCTGGATAGTTTACAGGGTGGCCTTTGTGGTTAGGAACTTGAGGGTAAACTCATTCTTGATGTGACTGGCATCTCTGAGTACTGCCAAATGTTCCCTGGGGAACAGGATCACCCCCAGTTGAGAAGTACTGGTCTAGAGAGACATGGGGCTATGAGGCCGTCCGGCTGCAGCACAGACACTCACCATTGATGTAGAGACTATCTCTGTCCAGGGTGTATGTGCCCAGCTGGGTGACCCCATAGGTCAGCTGACTCAGCTCCCGGTACAGCTCTTCTCTGTCCAGCCCAGAGCCCACAGGGTCTGGATGGTAGGTGCAGATGGCGTCCACTCCCGTTGCTGCCCCGTACTTCTCAGTCCTAGGGCGGCAGGGACGTGAGAATAGGGGCATCCGGAGATGAAGGAGAGATCTACGCTCTGCTCAACTCTCTCCTCCCAGTTGATCCCAGTCTTGGCCTTATGACCTTTCTCTTTACTGGGTCTTGCTGGTTTCTTAGGCGTGTTCTTCTCTGGATCCTGTGCATCTACATACCTTCCTACTCTGAAGCTTCATCTTCAGCCAACTTCTATTCTTTTGCCCTTCATTTCTCTTGGGTCAGGGCTCATACTATTTCAGTTGTCAGCATTATCGTCATGAGATCTCATCTCAGTCTCTGGCCAAGAACTCTCTCCTGAGCTCTGTGCCATGTCAGCAACAGCCTCAGGGATGACGTCTAGATCTATGCGAGTCCATATATCCCAAATCAAGCTTACCACTTCCCCATAAAAACATAGAACCTGCTTCTCTTCCCGTTTTCATATCAATGCCAGACTCAGACATGACAGGGACATCCTGCACCTTCCCCATCCTCTGTTCCCCGCAATTTGAGCAAAAACCAGGTCCAGCCCAATGTCTCACTCCTGTCCCACCATCCCATCAAATTTTCCCACCCTCACATCTACCAGGGCTCTACTTGACATAAACGACGCCATGTCCAGGCTCTGCTTACAAGTCCACGGGTTCCCACAGCTGTGACTTAACACAACTAACGTTTATGGAACACTTACTAGGTGTTCTATTTAATATTTGCTACCTCTTTTTATCTTCTCAGCAACTCCACGAGGGATTCCCACTTTGTAGTTGAGGAAACAAAGCCGTACAGATGTTAGAGGACATGGCTAGTGACAGAAACAGGGGGTGACTTCGTGCATACAGATGCTGAGACCATTAATGCTTCTCCTTTGCTGTGCAAAATGCTATGAGCACTTTGGCCTTCGATCTGAATTCTTGATGACATCTACTACTCCCAAGTCACCCTGCAATTCATCTGCCACCAGGCAACTATGTCAGGTGCACCCATCCACCCTCTGCTTAGCCAGCCTCCTGGCCAACCATTTTTCTCTCCTCCCTCCCTTCCTCTCTCTCTCTCTCTCTCTCTCTTTTTCTTTCTTCCTTCCAATTGCTGTTTGCCCCACTCTCTACTCTCCAATGTCAGGGAACTTTCTCATGTACCAGAATCTCTTTCATGTTTGGCCCATGACTTATAAGACATGCCACCCCTTGAAATGTCTTTGCCAATCCTTCCTCTGCCTAATGCACACTTGACTGTCAAACCCTGGCTCAGGGGCATCACCTCCTCCAGCCGGCCTCCACCCGCCTCCCCCAAGCTGAGCTAACAGTTCATTCTCTGGGCTCCTGTGGCCCCCCACGTAGTGCTTTGTCATTGAACTAGCACTGTTCATATTATGGTTTTGAGTCCATATGGCTGCTGGGCTCTCTACTTTGTGGGCACCTTGAGAGAAGGGCCTGTGACTGACTCAGCACCTGAGCACCTGTCACAAGGGACTGTCCGAGGGAACTCATTTCATTTTTGCCTAATGAGCCAGTGTTGACCTTTCTGACCCGTGATGTGAATGCTCCATGGCTCTGCCTGTCCAAGTAGTTTCAGACATTTGACAGCCACCTCCTTCAGGAAGCCCTCTCTGATACGTTCAGCCAGAGGAGATGCCTCCCATATCTGAATTCCTGGAAGAACCTGGTTATTTCTGGTTCTTGCTTCCTAGCTGTTGTGTTTGGGACTTGCCTGGGACAATGTAGCCCTGCAGGTGTGAGGGAGGGAAAGTCTCACCTGAGCAAGGTCAGTCTACAGCTGGAGAACAATGGGCCAATGCTGGTGTTCTTGAACAAAGGACCCAGCTGGGGAGGAAGGACAGGGAGGTGAGCAAGAGGCACTGAGGAGCCTGGACAAGGCAGGTCAGAGGAGGGAGGGACAGGCTCTCACCAGGCGAGTCAGGGCCTTCTCGGTGGAGTTGAACTTGGCAGAACCCGGGTGCCTCATATCTGGGGTGTAAGTCAGGTTGGTGATGGTGAAGTTGAGGGGGAATGGTACCAGGGCTGGGCCCACACCTGCAGCTGGCGGGGGAGAGACAGGAGCCCCATCACGGTCTAGTGCTGAGTTGTAAGTTGCAGGGAAGGGACCAGAACCATCCATCCGTCCCTAGTTTGCAGCAGGTGAGGCCTGAGAGACCCCATCTGGGACACCTTCCCTCCTGGGCCACCCAGGGGAAGAGCAGGCACCTCCACGTCAAATGCGTGGTGTCAGCATGAGAGGGAACTTCAGCCCTCTTGTCCCCAAGCATCCACAGGCTGATGTGTCACGGACATTGGGGTGGGGAGAGGAGGGCGGACCAAGACCTTCTGTTCTCAGACCGTGGGCCACAAATACTCAAGCAGCCAAGAAATCCAAATGGGGTAGCAATTTCCACCCAGGAGATAATTGTCGAGACAGAACGGAGATTCGCTATGTGTGGGATAGGGAGCCGTGCTACTGTATAGGCAGTGGTGTGAGCAAGAGCATGCCGAGCTGAACTATTCGGAGCAAAAAAGGAACCAGGCACAGCTGAGTCCCAAGAACAGTAGGTGCAAAGGCCCTGAGGTCGGTAGGATGCTCGGGCCCTGAAGGAACAGAAATGAGGCTGGTGTGAGCAGAGATTCAGGAGCAGGGGAGGCAGTGGCAGGCTGGGGCCAGGTGGACATCACGGTCCAGACCATGCAGGGTTTCATCAGCCACTGAATGGGAGCTGAAGGTTCCTGGGACTCCGAGATCTGATTCCTAACCTACCGGCAGAGCTGGGGGTGGGAGTCAGAGATGCTGGGGATCCTGAAGAGAATGTGGAGGTCAGTAGAGCTAAAACACAACATAAATAACAATTGTCAGGACCCATCTGCAGCAATGCAGGGATAGAGCCAGACAGCCGGAGACGCAGGAGCCCAGGGGCACTTGCATCTCTAGCTTGGCTCCACCTGAGAGTTTTGGTGGCCTGGGGCTGCTCTGGGGTTGAGAACCTGGGAGACAGAGCACACGTGCCCCCAGATGCAGACTTTCCGTTTAAACACGTGACAGTCCTGCGGAGACCATGATGAGTTGGTCACCGATGCCCACTTCCCCTCGGCTCTTAACCATCTCAGCACATGCCAGCGCCTCCAGCTCTCTGCCTTTGAGGAATTACCAGGTCCAGGGAGAATCCCTCTAGCAGGGATGGTTGGGAGTGATGGATAAATATCCCAGCTCCCTCCACCTCCCTGGGTGGGATGGCCCGAAGTGCACATCCTAGCACCCTCCCCAGTGCCCCTCAAGCCTGAAGAAATGTGAGACAATACATTTCTGTTGTTTAAGCCACCAGATCAGTGGTACTTTGCTGCAATATCCCTGACAAACTAGTACACCGAATGATCCACTAACTCCTTTTCTAGGTATGTACCCAAAAGAATTGGCAACAGGGACTCAAACAGATATGTGTACGCCTATGTTCACGGCAGCATGATTCACGATTGCCCAAAGGTGAGAACGTCATGCATGTCCGTTGACACTGACTGGAGACATACAGTGTAGTCCATCCACCCATGGACAATTATTCACCCATAAACAGGCACGAAGTTCTGACATACAATGCAACACGGATGAACCTTGAAGACGTCCTAAGTGAAATAAGCCAGACGCGAAAGGACAAATAAATTACATGATTCTACTTCTAGGAGATACCTTCAAGAGGCTGATTCATGGAGACAGAAGGAGATGAGAGGTTCTCAGGGGCTGGGGGAAGTGGGGAAAGGGGAGTTATTACCTGACAGGCAGCTAGATCCTTTGGGGAGTGAAAAAAGGTTTTAAAAACTGAATGCGATTAATTTCACTGGATTGTACATTTCAAACGGTTAAAATGGCAAGTTTTATATATGTGTGTATGTATGTGTTATATGTATATATACACACATGCACATACATAGACATGTATAATTTTTTTACCACAATAAAATAGTTATTCTTACTTGTTCCTGAAGTCACACTCACAGAGGCCACAGTGGACATTGCAGGTGTGGTGACAGGGACAAACGGACTTGCAGCTGGTGCACTGAAGGTGGCTGTGGTCTCAGTCACCATGGGGCCTGACCCTGTAGCAGCCACATCAGGGGTCTCAAGAGTCGTCGTTTTCAGGGTAGTGGTTGGATGTGATCCTTCTCCATGACTGGTCTCAGGTGGAGCCGGTGTTTCTGATGCTTTGGAAGTCACGGTGCCCCCTGTGACCGTGTTGGAAGATTCTGGGGGTCCCGCTGAGGTTGTGGGTGGTGAGGGCTCTGTGCTTATGATGTAAGGCTCTCCAGGGGCTGCAGGGCTGCCAGCGGGCTCAAGAACCCCGGGGGAAACGGTCAGCAGTGGGATGCCTGTCCTGGCCTCTGATGCAGGGCTGGCGGCCAATAAGCCCGTGGCCTCTGATAAACCAGGGGAAAGGGTGGAAGCAGAGACCGTTGTGCTGACGTCCACCCCAGTGTGGGTGGAGCACGAGGCTGTTTCTGCAGGGGCGCCAAATGAAACAGGGGGACTCCCATCAGCTGGGCTGCTCCTGGTCACAGGTGTGAAGGAGGTTGTTTCTGGCAGACCCAGGGAAACCTGAGTTGGAACAGCCGCACTCGTCTCCAAGCCAGGTCGGGCGGACGGTGAGGCTGTGGACTCCGGCAAGTAAGGAAACACAGTTGAAGCAAGGAAACGTGAGCTCGTCTCACTGCTGGGGTGGGTGACCGGTGAGGCTGTGGTCGCCGGTTCATGAGGAGAAACCGTCAGAGCTGGAGCGGCCCTGCTGACGTTGGTCTCCACACCAGAGGCCCGTGAGGCCACATCTGGTACAGCGGGCGAGACGGTTGAAGTCGGAACAGCTGAACTGGCTTCTGCCCCAAGGCGGGTGGCTGGTGTGTGTGTGGCGTCTGACACGGTACGGGAAACCCTGCGGGTTGTCTGGGGAGCAGTCGGGCTGGTCTCTGTAGCAGGGATGACCCAGGAAGCCGTTGTGTCTGGCTCCCCAGGGGAAGCAGTCACAACCGGAGCAGCTGGGCTGCCTTCTGTCCCGGGATGGGTGACGCTTGTGGCTGGGGTCTCTGCTTCACGTGGGGACTCAGGCAGAGTTGGAGAAGTTGGGCCCGTCTCTGCTCCAAAACTAGTGACCAGTGAGGCTGTCGTATCTGATTCACCGGGGGAGACGTGGGTAGTCGGACGGGCTGAACTGGCTTCTGCCCCCGGTCTGGTGGCCATCGAGGATGTGGTGTCTGAATTACTATGGGAAACATTCAGAGTTGTTGCGATAACAGGCGTGTTAGTCTCTGTGGAGCCGGGAACCCGGGAGGCTGTTGTCTTTGGTTCAGGTGGGGAATCAGTCACAGAGGGAATGATTGTACTGGTCGCTGCCCCAGCACTGGTGACCGGTAAGATCTCCACCGCTGATGCCCCGGGGGAGCCAGTCAGAGCTGGAATGGCTGAACTGGTCTGTGTCCCAGGCTGGGTGACCGATGAGGCTGTTGTAACGGGCTCACTGGGGGAAACAGTCAGAGTGTGACCGGCTGGGCTGGTCTCTGCTCCAGAGCTAGTATTCAGGGAGGTCACCAGCCCCGGCTCACTAGGAGATACCGCGGGAGCTGGAACGGATGACCTGGTCTGCATCCCAGGATGAGTGATCTGGGGGGCTGTGGTCTCTGGATGACCAGGAGAAAAAGTCAGAGTTGGGATAGCCGTATTGATGTCTGCCTCAGCACTAGTGACCTGTGAGGTCACTACATCTGGTTCATCAGGAGAAACAGCTGAAGTTGGAACAGCTGAACTGGCTTCTGCCCCAAGGCTGGTGGCCAATGAGGGTGTGCTTACTGATTCACTAGGGGAAAAAATGGGGGCTGTCCTGGGAACGGTCGGGCTGGTCTCTGCAGGATGGGTGGCCGAGGAGGCTGTTGTATATGGCTCCCCAGGGGAAGCAGTCACGGTTGGAAGAGCTGAACTGGCTTCTATCCCAGAGTGGGCGACCCACGTGGCTGTGGGCTCCAGTTGACCTGGGGAAACAGTCGGAGTTGGAAAAGTGGTGGTGATGTCTGCCCCAGAACGAGTGGCCTGTGACATTACAAGCCCTGGTACACCAGAGGAGATGGGTGTAGTTGGAATGGCAGAACTGGCTTCTGCTCCAGGACTTGTGGCTGTTGAGGCTGTGGTGTCTGACTCACTAGGGAAGAAATTGGAGGCTGTCCCAGGAACAGTCGGGCTGGTCTCTGCAGGATGGGTGGCCAAGGAGACTGTAGTACCTGCCTCCCCAGGGGAAGCAGTCCCAGTTGGAATAGCAGAAGTGGCTTCTGTCTCTGAATGGAAGCCCCTGGAGGCTGTGGTCTCTGCTTCATGTGGGGAATGAGCCTGATTTGGAAAAGTTGTACTGGTCTCTGCCCCAGACCTAGGAACCAGTGAGGTCGCCGCCCTTGGTACACCAGGTGAGACAGTCAGAACTGGGGTGGTTGAACCGGTCTGTGCCCCAGGCTGGGTGACCACTGAGGCCATTGTATCAGGCACATCAGGGGAAACAGTCAGAGATGGAATGACCATACTGCCGTTTGTCCCAGAATGAGTGGCCTGTGAGGTCACCATATCTGGTACACCAGGGGAGACGGTTGTTGTTGGACTGGCTGAACTGGCTTCCGCCCCAGGACTGGTGGCCGTGGAGGGTGCAGTGTCTGATTCACTGTGGGAAAAATTCAAAGTTGTTCTGGACACAGGTGTGTTCCTGTCTGAAGAATGGCCCCAAGAGGCTGTTGTATCTGGCTCCCCAGGGGAAACAGTCACAATTGGAGCAGCTGAACTGGCTTCCCTCCCGGGATGGGTGACGCTTGTGGCTGCGGTCTCAGGTTCATGTGGGGACTCAGTCAGAGTTGAAACAACCGTACTCATTTCTGCCTCAGGGCTAGTGACCAGTGAGGTCGCCATTGCCAGGGCCCCAGGGGAGACAGCCGTTGTTCGAACAGCTGAACTGACTTCTGCCCCAGGACTGGTAGCTGTTGGGGATGTGGTGTGTGATTCACTGCGGGAAACAGTCAGTGTTGCCATGGAGACGGTGGGGCTGGTCTCTGCAGGATGGGTAGCCCATGAGGTTGTGGTCTCCAGCTCACCAAAGGTAACGGTCGGCGTGGCAACAGCTGACCTGGTTTCTGCCCCAGAACTAGGGACCGGGGAGGGGATGGTCTCTGATCCTCTCTTGAAAACAGACGAGGCTGTCCAGGGAACCGCTGTGCTGGCCTCTGCTCCAGGTCTCGGCGCCAACGAGGCTGTCCTCTCCGGAATGTCTGTGGGAACATCTGGGGTCGTGGTGGTGGCCCCTGCCGTGCCCGTGCTGACCACCTCACCCGATGTCCTGAGGAGGGCTGGCATTCCCAAAGTGGGAGAAGACACATGGGAGGCCGGAGTCACCGTAGAGGGGGTCTCCAGGGCTGTGGCTGTGGCCTCTGCTCTCTCTGTCGCCCCTGTAGGTAGTCCTGGGAACAGGAGGGTGGACACACAATTTGCACAAAGTGATTACCACTTACTGGACTGGCAATAGCTAATTTTTTCTCCCCGAGAGGGAAGGGAGAGAAATGTCTGGGGAGAAGGGCTTGGGGTTGGCATCCCGCACCGTCCGTGTCTCATCTCTGGCGGTTAACTCCTCCATGAGTCCTGGTCCCCAGCATCCTGTGTACTCTGCACCTCTACACCTGTGTGCAAGCTGTTTTCTTCGCCCATCATGCCCACTTTGCACCAGATCCCTCACCTTCTGCCCTTCTTCAAATGCCAGCTCACATCCGCCTTTACAAACCACGTCAGAACCCTCTCTGCCTTCTCAGTATTTCCTCTCTGCTGTCTGAATCTCCCGCCCTGGACCTCTCTGCCCAGTCTGCTTGGTGGGGGTCATTAACGTCTGACTGCTTGGCATACCATACGTGCTCAAGAAATGCTCACTGAGTGACTGAGTGACTGACTGACTGACTGACTGACTGACTGACTGACCGACACATGCGTGGAAAGACACAGTGGCAGTTTCCCCTGACTTGGGAGATCATGTAAATTCATTCCAGAGCCTGGGCTCTGGAACAAGGGCATCCTGCCCTACGATTCTCGCTCCTCCACTAAGTAAACATGTCACTAAATCGCGCGAGGCCCCCATTTTCCTCATCTCCAAAGCAGATAAAGCACAGAGGGTGACACCGCAGAAGGTTGACAAAAATGCATCGAGTGCCGCGAGGGCCTCCTGCATTCTCATGGCTCTTGTCGTCAGTCGCAAAGCCTGAGCATACTTTCTCTGCTCCTGCCACTACAATGAAGGCACATCGTATCGTTCTTGCCGGTTAACAGAGGGGAAAGACAGAAACTCACAGGTGGACTTTGCCAAGGTCACACAGCTACTGACTGATAATGTGACGACTTGAACACACTTCCGCCTGAATCCTAAAGCTATGCTCCCAACCTCAGCAGTATATTCATTTCCTAACTGAATTCTGGGATTTTGTGTGTGTGTGTGTGTGTGTGTGTGTGTGTGTGTTAGTGGTGGGGGTGTCCAGGCTGGAGAGAGGAGGAGGTCATGGAAAAATGTCCACCAGGCAGGGGATAACGTGCGGGGGTTAACATGAATCCTCTAGCTCAGTGGTTCTCAACCTGGGGCAGTCTTGCTGGCAGGGGACACTAGGCAACGTCAGGAGACAGTTTTGGTTGTGACGACTGTGTGTCTGTGGGGGCTGCTGCTGGCATCTAGTGGGTGGGCTCCCAGGAGGATGCCGGACATCCTGTAATGGCAGGACAGCCCTCCCCACACATGACTATCTGCCCAGCGAGCCGAGGTGGAAACACTGCTCGATCCTGAAAGGAGTAGGGGTCCTGCTGGCCGTCCGTCATCAACGTTGCTGCCTGAATACCGGCTATCGCTGCAGCCCAGCAAGCCGGTGCCTGGTGACCCAGTATAGCCGCCGCCAATGCCCCACTCATATCCCATCTGGGGGCCCCTTGGGGTGCTTAGCCAGCCCTGTGGCTTCACACATAAGGGCTTTCACTTACTTGGTGCTGCGGACGGGCTGAACGTGCCGGAGGTTAGCGCCTCCAGGATCAAGCAGCCCGCAGCCAATGATGGAAGGGAGTCCGATGATCCGTGTCCCCAGCACCCTGCTCCTTGGACAGGACACTGCTGAGGTGTCCTGTGCCATCTCCCAGAGCTCCCCAGGGGGAGTGACGGTCCGTTGCCCGTCACTCATGAATCTGCTCATGAATGTACCTTCCACTGACTTCCCTTCCTTCTCTCTCCCTGGGACCATCCCTCTCCCAAGAGAAACTACATGCCCACATCCTTAATGCAAATCTGCTTCTTGGGGGACCCAACCAAAGACACCTGGGTCACAAGATAAGAGCAATAACTCAACTAGGGGGTGGCTCTTTCCAATGCCTGGATCTTGCAGAAATCCTCCAAACTGTACTGGTAAAATAGTCTGGTCTCTCAAAACCTTGGGAATAATTATTGCCTTTCGGGTACCCAGGGAGGAGGAACCCTTGCTGTAGACACCTGCACCCCTCGCACTCTCACGTGGAACAATGATACTAAGGAATGCTAGTTACTAATACATTAGTATAATTATACATGGATGAAAAGATTATGTAGCCAAGTAACTGTGTAAAGCCCTGGGTTGAATAAGGCTGCACATACTTGTTTCAGTGGGATTTCTCAGAGTCTTCAATGTGCTTACGTGTGTTTCGACTCTTTAGGAAGGAGCAGCATGGTTGCCAAACCCTTTTGACCACAAGCTTCTTTGTCCATTTGTTAAAGGATATCTAAGCACTCCCAAGCCTTAGAAGGTCTTTGGACTGTTGTTTTCTGCCCACGTCTCCAGAATCATCCCCTGCCATCCCATCCCTGCATTTCATACTTTAGCAAAGGGGATTATTTGTACCTCCCAGATAGTCCCAGCTTTACCCCTTTTTACGCCCTTGTATGCAGCTCTGCTCTCTATCCAGAATATCTTCATTAACTCCTTTTGGCTTTCTGGTAAACTCTTATTCATCCCCTAAAACCCAATTCAAATATTACCCCCTCCGTGAAGCCCTCTCTCTAGTGTTCAAATATGTATTCAGGGCATACTTTTAAAGTCACAGCATAATGTTTGGTCCTTTGCTGTCTCCCCTACTGGACTCAGAGCTCCATGGTGCTATGCCAGAGTATTTTCATCTCTGCATCCTCAGCTCATAATATAGCCTCTGACACACAGAAAGCTGTTGATGAGTGTTTTCAGAATTAAGTTAAACTGGGTCAAATTTGTGAAGCTGACATACCCAACTTTGAAAGAAACTCACTCAGCATGTTAGGAGGGAAGGAAAAGGGGTAACATCCACCTGGTAACCATTTCACAGAGATCCAACTAAGACAGGGAAGCCCCTGGCAACCGAACACAGTTCCTTGTCTAAAGAGACCAACATTTCATCTCTCCAGAACAGGAAATAAGGCCACAAGTGGGATCACTGGGAAGTAAGCCAAGTACCTCTCAGACTAGCAGATGACGTGGATGGCAGAGGGACATGGATTGGTCCTGCAGTGCCGCCATGAACTGCTTCCCTGGGTATCTTTGTGATGTGCTCCACGATGCCATCTGTCCCTGCAGGGGAGGATGGGGAAGAAACCTGGGTAACTCATCTCATCCAGAAGGAAAGCATGCCCGAATGGATCCACTTGACTGGCCACACAACCCAAGGTGTGCAGTCTTCTCAAGTCTATCCAAATGAACTTGAGTCAAGGCTATGTGCCGTGAGTGGCCACCCCCGTCCATGAATCCATTCATCCACCCACTGACTTGTCTGTCTTTCCTCCCATCCATCCTTCCTTCTTCCATTTCTCCATCTCTCCACGCCTCCTTTCAGCCTCCCATCCATCCAATCAGTTCTACCTTCCCATCATCCCACTCATCACTGGCTTATGAACACCCATGACTCAACCACTGAGCCACATGCTGACATGGGTCAGCAGCTGTCACTGTGTCTGACTTCACTGTAAGTTGCTTAAACTAGTTTGAGAGCTAACTGAGTCGTCTTCCCACAGATACGGTCTAGTGAGGCAGGTGCTGGAGCGATTGGCAGGCTTCTCCAGGCATGGGTCCCAAACAATCGTTGCGGCCAAATTCAACATTTCACAGGAACAGAATACCTGAGAGAGTCCCTTCCTCACCTACTGACCTCTCGGAGGTGGTGTTTCTCCTCCTAAGCCCTGGGCCCCCCAATTTTAATTTGTTCACCTTTTAGTTCTACCTTTTCCCTGTTTTTGACTGTGTTTTCAGTATGGCAACATCGTCAACTGAAGGGGGAATCCCTCCCGTATCTATATATTATTTTAGCTGTTTTCATTCTCTGCAGATTGCTCACGCTCCCTTGTCAGAATCCCCAGGACCCACATGCTGTCAGAGAACTCACCTCCTTCCGGTCTGGCTACTCTGTAGCTTTCTGCAGGACTGAAATTTCCTCCTTCCTAGAACGGTCCCCTCTTCTAGCTTCTGGGAGGCTAGAATCTCTTACCTTTTCGCCCACCTCTCTGCCCAAGCCTGCTTAGCCTCATTATGGTTCAGAGGTGGATTCCTGGGGCCACATAATCTGATTTCTTATCACCCACTAGCTTCATGATCTTAAGCAAATTACTTGACTTCTCCATGCCCTCGGTCTACTCATCTGTAAAATGGGCTTATAATAATGTCTTCTTTAGGTTGGTTCTAATGAGGATTAAGTAACTTAATACGATAGTGCCTGACACGGAATAAGGGCTATTTAAACCTCTGCTGTTATTAGCCTTATCGTCAGCGCGGGCATTAGTAGTATGTTAGGACATCTATCCCGGCACCATTAGTTATCCTACACTTGCATGTTTATCTCTTAGTTTCCCCAGTGCCCAGCCCGGTGACTGGAGTTGGAGATACACCAACAAAGACTGGCTAAAAAAATTTCTGGTGTGGAAATAAACTCCCCATCAACTCCTTTACAGCTCCCGGAGAGGAGCCGTGTCCTACGAGCCCCAAATAATGGGAATAAGGTAGGAGCTGTGAGTCCTTACTTGTCAGTGGTGTTGAGTGTGGAGGAGGTCGGGAAGCACTTGTCACTGCACCCAGGTCAATACTCTCGGTCACTGTGGAGTCCCTAATGGGTGAAGAGGATGTCCTGCCCCACTGGGTCCAGGTCTCCAAAGTACTGAGCATCACGGCGGGTCCTCTGGCAGTTGTGCTGTCTGCCCCAAGGCTGGCGTCCACTGCCCGTGGGGCGGCCGGTGAGGAGGTGATCCCTGGGGGGGCAGCAGAGGTTGCAGAAGGGGGCGGTGTCGGCGCTGACGAAGGGAGGCTTTCTGCAACAGTGGGCGCCATAGCACTCCCGGGGCCTGCCTCCATCCTAGGGAAGGGCCTGGCTGAGGAGGCAGGTGAGCGGGCATGTGCAACCCCGGACGTGGGGAGGGAAGCCATGGCTTCTGGGGTCAGCGTGTCAGCCAACATGGCCTCAGCTGTGCTTGGGTGGTGAGCACTTTCTGATGCGGACCCAGAAAGCTTGGATTCTGGGAAGGCAGTGACCCCAGCAGATCCTGCCGCGGACAGAGACGTGTAAGAGCGGGTGATAGTTTCCACTGGAATTTCTGCTGGAAATTCAGTGTGCGAAGGCGGGAGGTGGCCTGGGACTGATGTTCTCGTGGAAGGGGGGGCCTCGGTCTCAGGACTCTTCAGAAGATGAGCAGACAGAGGAGGTGAAGGCCTGTCTGTGGGCGTGGCTGGGCTGGAGTCCGGGACTATGCTGGTCCACCTCCATCCAGGGCTCAGGTGGGCATGTGGCTCTGTCTCAGACGTGGTGGTCTGCAGGGAGGCAGGCATTGATGTGGGAAGAGTGGTCTCTTCTGTGGCAGAGGCTGTACCCCTTGTGTATGTGGCTGTGGCGGGCTCGGAATGGATCAGGACAGAGGAACGTGGTTCACCTCCAGAATGGCTGCTGGTCCCCAGAGTGGTTGCTGCTGGGTTGGCAGAAGAATGAGTATTCTCTGTAACTGTGGGGGCGTCAAAGGTGGCTGGTGTTTCATATGCGGTGCTGCTCACGTTTGGAGCTGAACTGGTTCCAGGTGTCGAGCCTGTGCCTAACCTGTGTGCGGTGTTCACCAGGTCAGAGGTGACAGGTGAGGTCACGGGAGCAGGAGAGGAGGGGCCGCGCCTGGGCCATGTGGAGGAAGCAGGAGCAGGTGAGCCAGGGAAAGGCGCCGGGGAGGGTGGGGAGCCGGTCACTTCCACAGAGAGAGGACTCGTCCGTGCCCCAGCCTCCAGGCCTCTGCCTGTGACTGCGGCCGTCTCTGAGTGTGCTGACCTCTGAGTCCCAGCCGAGCGAGTCCCTGCCTGGGAGGCTCTGGCTGGTGTGTCCAGGGGCAGTGCCCCCCGTGCTGAAGTCCCAGAAGGACTTGTCTGGGTGCTGAAGGTCATGGGCGTAGTTATTGTCAAGGGAGAAAAGATACTGGTTTCTGAGGAAATTCCAGGGGACCTTGTTGACTGACCAGACGTGCGTGTGAATGTTCTGTCGGAGAAAGAAACCTCCCTCCTGGGGACGTCAGTAGCGGCACGCAGGGACACAGTGGAGGGGACAGCGCTTATCTCCACACTTGGGCTGTTCTGAGAGGTGCTGGTCACCCTCAGTCCAGGGGTCAGGGAGGATGCCCGCGCTGTCTCGGTCTTTGTGGTCTCAGAGGAGCCTGGCACCGATGCGGCTGCAGCCGCCTCTCCTGTGTCGTAGGTGCTGACCCCTGGAGGCGTGCCAGATGACTCAGAGGTATGTGGGACAGAGGAACGTGACTCAGCGTTCCCCCTGGGGCTCGTGGCTGGGTCAGTGGAAGCATGGATTCGGTCTGGATCTGTGGTGTCTGCAGAAGGACTCTCCTCTGAGGGGCTGCTCAACTGTGGAGGTAAACCAGTTCTGGGTTCTGGGCTTGCCCCCAACATATCCATGGTTTTCTCCAGGCCAGGCATGAGAGGTGAGGTCCCAGGAGGAGGAGAGGAGAGTAACGTGAAGGGAGCAGGGAAAGGTGAGGTCCCGGCAGGGAAAGGTGCCGGGGAAGACGGGGAGCTGGTTACTTCCACGGAGGGAAGGCTCCTCTGTGAAACATCCTCAGGGCCTCTGTTCCAGAGAGTGGTCATCTCCATGCGTGGAAATCCCTGACTCACAGCTGAGGGGGTCCCTGCCCCGAATGGGGCGGTTGAGGTGTCCAAGGAGACAGTTCCCAGCAGTGTATCTGTACGGGGATCCGTTTGAGTGGTGCCAGTTATTTCTGCCGATTCTGTCATGACAGAGGAAGTCAAAAGCCCGGTGACGGTCTCTGCGGAGATGCGTGGTGACTTTGCTGACTGGGCAGAGCCTAGGGTGAGTATCCCACGAGAGGAGGTGACTTCTGTGCTGGAGACCTGAGTAGTGGCACCGGAGCTCACCCCAGGAAGGACAGAGGTTAGCTCTGTGGATGAGCTGGTCTCCCTAGAGTAAGGCAGTGACCCCAGCAGATCCTGCCGCGGACAGAGACGTGTAAGAGCGGGTGATAGTTTCCACTGGAATTTCTGCTGGAAATTCAGTGTGCGAAGGCGGGAGGTGGCCTGGGACTGATGTTCTCGTGGAAGGGGGGGCCTCGGTCTCTGGACTCTTCAGAAGATGAGCAGACAGAGGAGGTGAAGGCCTGTCTGTGGGCGTGGCTGGGCTGGAGTCCGGGACTATGCTGGTCCACCTCCATCCAGGGCTCAGGTGGGCATGTGGCTCTGTCTCAGACGTGGTGGTCTGCAGGGAGGCAGGCACTGATGTGGGAAGAGTGGTCTCTTCTGTGGCAGAGGCTATACCCCTTGTGTATGTGGCTGTGGCGGGCTCGGAATGGATCAGGACAGAGGAACGTGGTTCACCTCCAGAATGGCTGCTGGTCCCCAGAGTGGTTGCTGCTGGGTTGGCAGAAGAATGAGTATTCTCTGTAACTGTGGGGGCGTCAAAGGTGGCTGGTGTTTCATATGCGGTGCTGCTCACGTTTGGAGCTGAACTGGTTCCAGGTGTCGAGCCTGTGCCTAACCTGTGTGCGGTGTTCACCAGGTCAGAGGTGACAGGTGAGGTCACGGGAGCAGGAGAGGAGGGGCCGCGCCTGGGCCACGTGGAGGAAGCAGGAGCAGGTGAGCCAGGGAAAGGCGCCGGGGAGGGTGGGGAGCCGGTCACTTCCACAGAGAGAGGACTCGTCCGTGCCCCAGCCTCCAGGCCTCTGCCTGTGACTGCGGCCGTCTCTGAGTGTGCTGACCTCTGAGTCCCAGCCGAGCGAGTCCCTGCCTGGGAGGCTCTGGCTGGTGTGTCCAGGGGCAGTGCCCCCCGTGCTGAAGTCCCAGAAGGACTTGTCTGGGTGCTGAAGGTCATGGGCGTAGTTATTGTCAAGGGAGAAAAGATACTGGTTTCTGAGGAAATTCCAGGGGACCTTGTTGACTGACCAGACGTGCGTGTGAATGTTCTGTCGGAGAAAGAAACCTCACTCCTGGGGACGTCAGTAGCGGCACGCAGGGACACAGTGGAGGGGACAGCGCTTATCTCCACACTTGGGCTGTTCTGAGAGGTGCTGGTCACCCTCAGTCCAGGGGTCAGGGAGGATGCCCGCGCTGTCTCGGTCTTTGTGGTCTCAGAGGAGCCTGGCACCGATGCGGCTGCAGCCGCCTCTCCTGTGTCGTAGGTGCTGACCCCTGGAGGCGTGCCAGATGACTCAGAGGTATGTGGGACAGAGGAACGTGACTCAGCGTTCCCCCTGGGGCTCGTGGCTGGGTCAGTGGAAGCATGGATTCGGTCTGGATCTGTGGTGTCTGCAGAAGGACTCTCCTCTGAGGGGCTGCTCAACTGTGGAGGTAAACCAGTTCTGGGTTCTGGGCTTGCCCCCAACATATCCATGGTTTTCTCCAGGCCAGGCATGAGAGGTGAGGTCCCAGGAGGAGGAGAGGAGAGTAACGTGAAGGGAGCAGGGAAAGGTGAGGTCCCGGCAGGGAAAGGCGCCGGGGAAGACGGGGAGCTGGTTACTTCCACGGAGGGAAGGCTCCTCTGTGAAACATCCTCAGGGCCTCTGTTCCAGAGAGTGGTCATCTCCACACGTGGAAATCCCTGACTCACAGCTGAGGGGGTCCCTGCCCCGAATGGGGCGGTTGAGGTGTCCAAGGAGACAGTTCCCAGCAGTGTATCTGTACGGGGATCCGTTTGAGTGGTGCCAGTTATTTCTGCCGATTCTGTCATGACAGAGGAAGTCAAAAGCCCGGTGACGGTCTCTGCGGAGATGCGTGGTGACTTTGCGGACTGGGCAGAGCCTAGGGTGAGTATCCCACGAGAGGAGGTGACTTCTGTGCTGGAGACCTGAGTAGTGGCACCGGAGCTCACCCCAGGAAGGACAGAGGTTAGCTCTGTGGATGAGCTGGTCTCCCTAGAGAGGCCAGTGGTTCTCATTCCAGGGGTCCAGGAGGGACTTGTCTCAGGCTCAGAGAAGCTGGACATGGGTGTGGGGACAGTGGCCTCCGCCCTGGTAGAGGTGGCAACCACTGGAGATGTGGCTTTGGCTGGCTCTGAGTCAGTTGGGACAGAGGAATGTGGTTCCCGCCTAGGACCGGCGGTCCCCACATGGGTCACTGCTGTGTGTGTAGAAGGATGAAGTTGCTCTGTATAGGTAGTGGCTTCTGAAGTGGCCAGTATGTCTGCCAAGGTGTGGCTCAAACGCTGAGGAGCACCGGCTCCAGTTTCCAAGCTTGGGGTGGTGGGGAGCCCTGAACTCATCGATAGAGAGGAGGTGCTATGCCCTTGGAATGTGGGTGGGACAGGGGACCGTGAGGCTGTGGCAGGGCCGGCCTCTTCCACAGAGGGAGGGCTCACCCGCGTCACAGCCTCGGTAGCTCTGCTCAGGGGACTGGTCATCTCTGATTGTGCAAATTCCTGAGTCACTCCAGAGTGGGTCCCCGCCCAGGGGGCTGTGGCTGATCTGTCCGAGGGAAGTGCACCCAGGGTCGGAGTCCCAGGAGGACCGGTCTGCAAGGCAATGGGCGTTCGTTCAGATCCTATCATGGCGGGGGGTGCAGAAAGCCTGCTGATGTCTGAGGACCTTGTGGACTGAGCAAGGTCTGGGCTGGATATTCTGCCAGAAGTGGTGACTTGTGTCCCAGACCCCTCAGTGACAGCAGTAGAACTAGGGGAAAGGACAGTGCCTGTCTCTGTGCTTGAGCTGGTGTCCACGTAAGTACTGGATAGTTCCATGGCCGTGAGGGAATCAAGCTCTGGTCCAGCCCTTGTGGACTCTGACCAGGTGGCCACTGATGTAAAAACAATGCTTTGCACCACAGTGGCGGCAGTGCCCGTCGGATATGTGGCCCCGGGTGACTCTGAGTGGGCTGTGACAGTGGGGCGAGAATCCCCTTCAGAACCTGGGGCCCACATTGCTGTCCCCACTGTGGTTCCGGAAGGGTGAACTGCCTCTTTGTCTGTGGTGGGCTCCGAAGTCTCTACTCCCTCGTAACGGCTGTTTTTCCAACTTGGAGATGAAGATGTCCCAGGTTCCGAGCTTATGCCCACCAGATCTGTGGTCCTTAGTAAGCCCGAGGGGTCGCTTACCTTGCTGGTGGTCCCTCCCGATACAGAAGAGACAGCCCGCATCTCAGTGCTCAGAGATGTGCTTGAGGCCGACTCTTCTCCCCCAGTCCAGGGATCAGCTGCAGCCCTGGCCTCTGTTGTACAAGTCTCGGGCCCGTGGCCCTGGGGAGCTAGATCTGGAGGTCTTGCTGCATACGGGGGCCTATCCCGAGTTGGTGCTTCTGGTCTGGACACTTGCCCTGGGTCTGTAGAAGCCACAGTGGGAAGATGGGAAGAACTCTGCTCTGCTTCTTTGCTGGTAAGAGCCGGCCTCTCTGACCAAGCAACTGTGGAGCTACTTGTCATTGTAGCAGGTGTGACCCCACTTGTAAAGCCCCCTACAGAGAGGGACAGCGGGGAGGTCGTTGGGCTGACCAGGGTCTCCAAAGGGACTTCTTGAGGAGCTGAGGAAGTGGTTGTGGCTGATGATACAGGTCTCCCGGTGGCCCAGGCAAGAGTGGACAGAGGTTCAGACAGAGGAGTGGACAGGAAGCTATTTGGGCTTGACTTCATATTTGAATGGTCACTAGAAGCCATTGAAACAGGCAAGGCTTCTGTTTCTCCTCTACTGGGAGGCCAACTAGTGCTTAAAATGTCAGGAATGGAGGTGCTCAACGTCTTGACCCCAGAAGTTGAGATGGGCATAGCTAGGATTGTGTCTGAAGGACTCAATGGTCTCAGAGTTGTGCTGGCCTCTGTCTTTTCAGCAAAAGCGTGGGAGGATGGAAGGGCTACATGGGTTCCACTGACAGTCCCAAGGCCATGCCGAGGAAGCACAGAGCTTGATGCTAAGAATGATGTACCCACTGCTGCATTGGGAGAA